TAATAAAAAATTTATATCTTTATGTTTGAAGCCTGAAATGTGGCAAAAGGTTGAAAAGTTCAAGGGGGCCGAATACTTTCGCAAGGCACTGTATTTACTCCTAAAAGATTGTAAGTAGCTTAAATGACTCAAGTGGATACTGGTGATGTGACACAGATACATGAGCACCTACGTACCTGATGTGGAACTGGGAAAGATTAAAACTCTGCAGAAAACAATTTATTCCATTCATCTATCTAAAACATTGGATAATCACATTCCATTTTAACCTACACATTGGATTCTTAAAAATGACTTTCCATATTCTATAAAAAACATCTTATTAATACAATACAATTAAGTATTTTATCTTTTATGGAAGCTAAACGTTATGATCACCCTAGAATTCTTACTCAAATGTCAGAATTAGTGGTGGACAGAGAATAATAATTTTATATATTTTCTTTTCAATCATCAAGGGCTAAACGTTTCAGTGCATGTGAGAATGGTAAGATTTCAAGTTATTTCGTATCCGCTGCCACAAGGGGGCCTTTCCTAGCACACAAAATTGAGATTGTAACTGCGTCTACTTTTCCGAAGCAGTCAGTCCGTCAATCATTGTCACCTTTTCGCGATGGATGAATATGAACGCGATTGATTCAATTTTTAAATATATATCTATTAAGCGAGCAGAGATGATGCTGCTGGAACAATCTCGATTTGAAAGGTGTCTCCTCGGCTCTCTTCGCTCATGTCGGATTGTTCATCTCTCTCCCTGGTGTGCGACAGAGATGGTGTGTCCCGGTATGTAAACGGAGTTTGCGGAAGTGCGCCGGATAGTTGGCAAGAGTGACGGTCTCTGTGTTGGAGCGCATCTGGAAGGAGACCTTGCACACCGGTAGAGATGTCGCCGAAGGACCCCCTGCTCGGCACCCTCAAAGGTGGGGAATTCAGTGGACGTCGGAGAACGGTGGGAGAGACGTCATACTCCAGGGTCCGATTGTCCGGGTAGTGTAACTCCGTACTTCTTAAATACAGAATTCGATTTATTTTTCTTTTCACCATGCGGGATCATTGTACTTGATTGCAGTTGAACTAGTATTAGATGAGTGTGAAGGATGCGCGTTTATAGAGAGACGTAAAAGCAGTAGCTCAAGGTGGTTGAGTTGAAAGAAACACTGGTACGGATAGAAAAATGTGGTGTGTTGCGGGAAAACAGTATTTCATATATATATACACCTGCAATTACGTGGCGTGGAAGAAAAAACTTAACTGATTCAATGCGACTTTATAACACATGGGGAAAAGCACTCATTTGTGTGCAGCAGTTCGCCTGGTGATTCACTCTGAACACCACAGCCTTCCGCCCAGCTATCGCTGATCGGCTCTCGGACCTGTTGCGTTCCTACAGTTCCCAGCTCAATACCCGCATTTGTAATATGCGAGTTTAGCACGCATTTTAACTGGCATTATAAAAAGTGCCGTTATAAATAGAGAACATAATACAATTCAATTCAATTATATCATCGAAACATTCGGAACACTCTTTATCTTAGTGATTTTCAAGCTCTCAGCTGTAGCTGAAGAATATGAAGTACTGTAATAACCTCTTGGGTACAGTATCATTAATTATTGCTGAAAAACTGTGAAGTACTAGCATTTATTGCACTCATTTTCAAGCGAATGTGTTTGAGATAATATACGCAGATGTGCGTTTTGAAATGCCTACAATGTTGGTAATTACCGCTTTGGTGCCAATTCTACAGTGGCTGCGTTCAAAGATTTAAAGCATTTCTTCTGCTCGTCTTATTGATTACCCCCTGATGACGCATCGCAATAACACAGTTTGTCAAACTGGGAACCCAGGTGTCGATGCAGAGAGGCGTGAAACAAATATTAGACTGATGGAGTGTCTCTGTTGTAACTGCTTTGCTGTTGAGAACTTTTTCCTCCTGCTGGTCGGTATTCTTAAAACTTTTTTTTTTCTTTAAGGCTTTAAGGGATACGGGAAGCAGAATCAGGCTGGCTTGGTAACAATACCAAAGAAAACCTTCTCTAGTTCCACTCTTTCTCTAAACGGTGTTTTTTGAGCTGAACATTACATAACAGCTTTCTTGTCTGTTCGAATCCAAATTGTTCTTGAACATGATCATTTCACCAATATTGCCAGTACTAAATGATTACTATTACTACAGTATGACTGTAATGTTGCAATGCCATTCTTTTGATTATGTATTTGAGGAGTATAGCTTCACAATTAGTGGAGATCTGGTGTGGGTGATAGTTTTCACTGTGCTTTTCAGTTTTCAAAGAAAAGGCAACTTGTTTGTCCTGAGTAGCATAAGGCAATGAGGCATATGAGATGCAGGTGTAATGTGATGCAATAATTTTCTATTTAACTATCAAATTCCAAAGCTCAGTAGTCATGTAAATAAGGTATGGGTGTAAATACATTATGCATTTACTAAATGGTTTAGTATCAAGTGCTGTACTAATGTACTGTTTGTCTTGAGTTCCTGTCATCTCTCTTGAGAGCTGGGTTTGTACAGTATATATTGCAGTCTATGACATTGTGCTTGGCATTTTAAATAAATCGAATTCAAGTTAATGTCAAGTAGTAATTGACGTTGGAGAAATGCACACCTTCACATGTAACATGACATTGGGGTCAAACATCTCTATCTGTTCATTTTTAACCACTTTATCCAGTATAGGTTTGAAGGGAGCAGGAGTCTATCCTGGCAAGCAACTGGCGCAAGATGGGTTACACCTTGGATGGTACACCAGTCCATCGGAGGGCATACACAGACACAGACAAACTCACCAGGATCCATTTGACTAGAAGCCAATTAACCTTTCAGTATGTCTTTGGACAGTGGGAGGAAACCAGAGCACCTGAAGGAAACCCACATGAACATGGAGAACATGCAAACTCCATGCTTTTAGCACCCCACAAATTGAACCCAAGGCTCCAGCTAGGCAGCAAAGCTAACTAGTGTGCCACCATAAACTCTGTTTCCCTCTCAATTCAGTCCCCCTGTTGTCCAGTCATTTTACACAACAACACTGCCATGTGAAAAGGTTGCTTTTTCTTTCAGCCTTGTAAAGGAAATGATGACAAAAGATGGGTGAAAAAAAATGGAATTATTCCTTCACTGTATGTTTGGGTAATCAATAACCCCTGCTCCAGACCGAGGTATTTTACAGACTGACAAATCTGGTATTTGTGCCAGAGCCTGCTGTTGGTAAAACTTGAAATTGAAAATAATTTTGTTTACTGGGAATCCTTTCTCCATTCTGGTTGTGGATGTACATTATCCAATTTCTGACATTCATTTTTGAAATATGACTAACCAAGTCTTTGGTCTTGAAAGATCAAGTGTTGGTGGCCTAATAAAAAACAGAGATCAAAATCTATATATATTTTTACCTCAAAGCCCTCCTCTTTCTGTTGCAGAACAAATGCACATTACTAAAAGATGATTTATCCAACAAAATTGCAGCACAGCTCGGCAGTTGTGACACCAAAAGACATTTAGCCTTCCTCAAGGGCATCACAGTAAAATCTTGCAACTACTTAAGCATGCAGTGCTTAGATAATTAGCTTTTATGTGAGGGGAAAACACATGAATGGTACGTTCTTGCCAGATGTGTTTCTATATGAGTGCTCCTCAGTGGCTTTTGTCCAACAGGTTTTTCCAGACCTTGTTAAATCATCGAGACCTGGAGAGGGTTAAGCTTGTTTGGTTACAAGCAAATGTCGACCCAAGAAAAAGTTGAAATCATTAGGAATCAGTGAGACAGTGGTGCAATGGTTAGCATTGTTGCTTCACAGTGCCGGGGCTTGAGTCAATTTCTGTTCCACAGGTATTATCTTAGTGTAAGTTGTATTTTCTCCCTGTGTTTCCATGGGTTTCCTCTGGGTACCCTGGTTTCCTTCCACAATCTTAAGACATGCCAGTACATTAATTGCCTTCTGTGAGGATATGTGTATTTGTGTTTGGGTCTGTTTGTGCTCTGAAATGGACTGGCATCCCATCCAGGGTGTATCCCATTGCTGGACAGAATAGACTCCAACCCCCTTGCGACCCTGAATTGGATATAATGGTTATAAATTGGGAGGATGGATGGATCAATGCCTTGAAATATATTGCTCTAGGTTGCATTGTAAAGGGTCGATAAATATGCAACATCTTCTCTCTTGAGAGCTACTGTCAAGCTTGACACTATTGACTGCTGTCAAAAATGTGCACGTAAAGTCTAACTTCAAGGCAATTTAGAAAAAACGTCCGTATAGATTTAGATTTTGCAAACAAATGATTAGCTAACTAGCAACTCTAGTGGAAGAATGACAGGAAAGACCAGAGAGAGAAACTGCTCCGTAATTGCTTTGATTCTAGACTTTAATAAGGAAATCTTAAACGTTTCAATAATAATGGTAACCTGCAAACTAAACTCTAAAATGTTTTTTTTCTGAAGAAAGTAAGAAATTGATTAAGAAAAGGTCTGGTATTGTCAGTGTGTTAGTGACTATTTAGTCAAAGACTAGTGTCAGGCTGTGGAAAAATCCACAGGAACGTACTATATGTCTGCGTGTGTTTCAGAGAATGCGATGGAGTAGGCTGAATTCTGGTTGTAGATGTACATAATGCTTCTTCAACCAATTCCTGACATTCATTTTCAGCATGTTAAGTGAGTTTAGTGTGTGTTGTGCGTGTTGCTGGTAGTGTGCATCCTGAACCTGCAGTCAGAGGGAGGAGCTGTGACAGACGAGAGCCCCCACCTGTCTTCCTGCTGCCAGCTGCTCGAGATCATCTTGCGCAAGGGTCTGCAACGTGAGTATGGCCATCTGACCTCCTGACTCGTGGGATACATGATGGAATGATAAGCTGATGAACTTAAAGACTGCTATCTGGCTGACTGGCTCTGACTGACACTATACCTGACTGACACTGGGTGACTGACACTATAACTGACTGACACTACAGTATATCTGACTGACACTTGTTGACTGACTGACACTGGTTGACGGACACTGGATGACTAACTGACACTGTGACTGACCAACACTGTTAGACTGACACTGTCTGCTACTGGTTGATAGTGAAGGACACCCTAACTGATAAAATGGACTGACTGACACCCTGGAAGAAAGTCTCATTGACTTATGTTTCTTTTAAGAACATGATATTTGTTACAAATGAGAGGAAACCCTGTTTGTTAAGAGAGCCATTGCTCTGTTGGTGATGTGCTGTTTCCGGTGTGTCCTCAGAGACAGTGCTGGGCCTAATCAGGAAAGACTACTGGCACTGGTTGGAGCAACTGCCCCAGCAAGATTCATGTGGCAGGTAAACCCTGTTCTAATAAGACCAACTGCACACAGTCCACCTTCCTCTAGCACTACTACCTGTTGGAATTTACAGCATAAGATAACACAGAAGGTGTGCCCCCCACCCAATTCTTTTCTAATCGTTCTTAGTGTATTTCAAATAAAAAAGACGAAGATCACTTTCTCTGTGAAGAGCAGTGAGAGAACAAATAGTTACTTAAACTGCTAAAGAAGTGCCTGAGTGTAGAGCAGGATTAACTCCTCAGACTTGAAGGCCCAGATGGAGTAATGTACAAATTTAATGTTTTAGTGCCCTAAAATATTATTGAGCTACTGTACATAAGGCCACTTTTTTAGCTAACAGCCACTGTAAAACATCAGGAAAAATCAGAGGGAGACTAGGGCATTTGGAATACCAGAAGATCTCTAAGACCTACCTTTTCAAGAGAGTCAGAGAAAGACAACACCCCGGTGTTTAAAGTATTTCAATGGTTAATTGGTAAAAAAGGAAGAATATTTAAGTTGGTTAAGAGAGACAGGTTGTCAGGTCCAGGTTTGCCTTTCTCCTTCCTCACAGCTCTAAACTTCAGGCTGTCGCATTGGATGTGCTGAATGCTGAGTCTTTGGTCTTAGTTTTTTGCTAATTTCCCCCGACATCCTTCTTTTCCTCCCTCTCACTTCAAGCCTGAGTGGCAAACAAGCAACAACACGACAGCAAGCACCTGAGAAAGTCATGAATGTGAAATGCATGTGTGGTGAGAACCACAGATCCACACCCTCTCTCTGTTGTTTCTAGACTGAGCCAACTCTCCATGGCCATAGAGAAGACGGTCAGCTGCAAAAAGGTCATAACCTCCCAGGGTAGGGGGCGGTATTTTCTGCGTCTGGCCTTAAACAGAAGGATTCTTGGAAACGTGGTTCAGCATCTCCTACACACTCCAAAGCTCTTAGAGGTGAGAACTACAGTTTGTGTGAGGATAGACTGTTAACAAACATATAAATCTCCATGTCGAGGGTCTTGTTTAGTTCTGTACTCAATGAATCTTTAAGAAGATTTGCATCTTCAAGTAGGGGGTTGAATCAGAAGCATAGCTTCACAGATATATTATATTACTTTGCCTCTCAAAGTGTTCTCCTGCCCTTGGAGATCTTTAACAGAATTTTCTAGAGCATAGCACAGTGCCAGTCAAATGCCAAGGTCCCTTTTTTTGATTTGTGTCCTTGAGATGTCTTCCTTCGCTTGACCTGCATTAAATCAAAGCTTCACCTTACTTTGAAATTGCAAATTAGTAGTGCAGTCCCTGATGTAGGCTTTCAATTGGTTCCCTTACTAAAATGGTCCTTCAACAACCAGGACATGGGTTTGCAATTGCTGGACTTCAACATCTTCTGTTGCTATTTTACCTTTCAAGGTTACTTGCCAGACCTCTCTCCAGCTGTAGCAGAAATACCTTGGTGTCAGGGAGTCTGCAGGCATTTCCAGCTGTTAAATTAAAACCCCGGCTTTTGTATTTGCCTGACTGGTCAAATTAAAGTGATCTTCAACATGGCGTGATTCAAAGGAGAGACTTTGGCCTGCCGTGGTGAAGCTGAGCTCTCCCAGAAATTCAGAAATCTGTTTAATTTTAAACCAAGCTCTTAAGAAATGTGAAGGCTCATTTACTGTTTAGTTAAGTTACCATTTGTACTGGGTGTTTAGTGATTGGTGATTAAAACAAGTTTTTACTCAAAGACTGATGTTTTGCTCGCCTTCTTGGTACAGTGGTATGATCCTGCGGTATCCATCCTGAGGAATGAGGAGTTTATGGGTAAGTGCAATTTTTAAACACCTTTCAAATCTACTCACACTGTGTTTGTACTTTCCAAGGGTTTTCCATTGACCCTAGTGTCTGAATCTGCTGGTTAACCATATTGGAGCCTTCTCTTGCGTAGTACAAGAATTTCAGCTAGAACTTCCCAATCCTGATTATTCTGACCCCAGCTTCTCAGTTCGATGTTGTGTGAATCTGGGAGGCTGTCTGACCTTACAACCTGTCTTCTCAGAGCCCTTCTTGTCTCTGCTGCTGGTCCTGTCTGAGATGGAATTCTCTTTAAACATCCAGGTGAGTGTGGAGGGAATTTTGCTTTTGCCCCAAAAGTATTTTGATTGTGTCCATATATAATGAAAGATTATTGGCTTAGCAAGATGCCCTTATCCAGGGCAACATATAATGTATATTCAGTTTTACCCTAAAGTGAAATATAGGGACATGCAAGGAAAATAAAATGAATAGTCACAATTAAATCACAGGGCAACCACAATAATGTTTGGAGTGAAAAGCATCTGCCATGCAATCCTATAAAATGTTATGCTTGGAACTAAACAACCAGCACATACAGGCAGTGTGAGTACAAAGCAATAGGCACCCCTGTCACGACTCGTACATTCTCCCATAAGCGCCCTGGCATTCCCACATGTACTAAATTCCACACACGCTCATCCAGGAACTAATTATCCAACCTCGGCTCTCTCTCTTCAATATTTAAACACTCTTCACTGGCTTACCTACGCTCACTATTGAGAAGTCTTCCACAGCTTTCTCTTGTGCGCGCTACTATTCTCGTCCTGACTCCTTTGACTACCCGACCTGGTTCTCCTACTTTTGACTTCGCTCTTGCCTAATGACATGGATTTGGAATCTAGAATTTACTTTTGCTCGAACTCCCTTCCTCATGGCTTTGCACAGGGGTCCAACAACTCACCCCTTTCAGAAATCCTGACAACCCCATGGTGTTGGGGTTGTTGGGGTTCCATGTTTCCAGTGAAGGTTATTGAAGAATGTGGTGAGAGCAGATAGGACACAGGAGATGTCTTGTTCTGATTTGATTCCAAAAGCCATCCTGTCACTGAGGGCAGTGAGGAGAGAATGCATGGGCTCTGGCTGTGGGTGAACAGAGAAATAGAGGGATACAGAAAATCTAGTTAGAGAGGAGCAGCGAGAGGACCCATAGGGTGAGATAAGAGACAGGAGATGGACAGGAGCAGTGCGGTTAAAGCAGGGAGCCAGGAGAGGGGCTGCAGTAATAGAGTGGCAGCCAAAAACTGAGGAAGAGAAAAGGCAAAGTGAGCTAGTTCTGGTTCTAGTAGTCTAGGTGGAAGACTCCCGGGGCATGGATTAGACACGGTGGAATGGCTGGTAGGGAAAAATGTAATTCTTCGACTGCTGCTTGAGAAGAAGTGACAGGTGGATGACAGGGAAGACCTGTAGTGTGATACAGGGGGTTTTGGCAGAGTAGGAAAGGGGCAGAGTGATTTATTCAAGAGGAAAAGAGATGGAGAGGTCCGAAACGGGGACAGGAGGAAAGGAGGGAAAACAGGACGGGATGTCAGTTATATGATAAAAATGTGTCAACAGGCAACACACAAAGGAAATGGGAAAGAATGCTTTTTTGATCAGAGCATTACATATCACTGAAACTCAGAGGTCCCAACCTGTGCAGTATGCCTGACACCAACACATTTTAGCGATGCACTTCATAGGCAAGATCAGAATTCTTCTAGACAAGATTTCAGATCTATCCTGGCTTGAAAAATGTAGGAGCCCCTGAGAGATTAGACACACTGGGATTCAAGTTTCTGCACTGTCCAGGATGCAGGAGATATATGTGTAAATGTGTCATCGTTGCTCTGAGACCAAAACAACAATCTAAAATCTATTTAAAACCATTCAAAAATACTTGGACTGAATTTCTTACTAGCATCTTTATTCACAAAACAAACATGGCTTTGTAAGTGTTGATTACTGAAACTGTGATCTTCCTTTTTTGTTTTTAATGTGTGTGAGGTGATGTATCCTCTTGTGATTACAGAATTCCAGTTTCCTAGATGAAAGCTGGATGTTGCCGGTAAGTTGAATTAAGAACAAAGATTTCTGCACAAAGCTCTGCAGACACTGCTTGGGGTCTTGAATAAATAAAAGGGAACGGCTTTGTAAATCACTGGGTTCTGCTATTTACATGGCATTAATCATTTCTGATTGTTTTATATCTTACAAAAATGTCATTTCCTTTTGCAATGTTACATGTCCAACAAAATGTGAAGGAATTACTAATGTGTAAGAATTTCCTTCTCCTAGTTTAAGTAATTAAGAATGGATCCAATCTTCTAACCTGTGTCACATCAAATACCGTGAAACACATTATATCATTTGTGAAGAGCAGATAAGAGACAATATGTATGTTGGCATCGAATCTGTATTGTCCTTGGCTTGACTTGATGACTAAATAGCTGGTATATTTTGAAACAAAGTGTGGTGCTATGTTGATGAGGAGAAATGGGAGTTCCAGTGCTCTTAGACAGGCCATTCATCCTCCAACACACCCCACAAACCGATCTCTCAGCTTACTGCCTTTGCTGCTGACATTTTCTTACAAATCAATAATGGTAGCTTGGCAAGTTGTCACTCAAGTGCCCTGGTTAACATGCTCAGTAAACCTTCCCCAGGGTATCTGCCCAGTGATCTTGGCCCATTTCTGTCCAGTGAACCTGCCCTGTTTCTTCCTTCTGCTAACCAGTGAGAAAAGTGAGAGTCCAAGAAACAGAACATTCTGTTCCTTTTCCATAATGCTGTTTAAAATGGGGTGTAGCGTTGCTGTTAACAGATGCTGTTAGGTGTGAGCGAGCGGTCGAAAGAGTGAGCTGCGGTCTCTTTGCCTTGCAGGTGTATGAAACGTATGAGACTGTGCCCTGTAGAGAGCTGGGGATGGTTTTGAGGTGAGTCTTTGCTCTCTGGAGTTAAAGCTTAAGTCACTTGTCGTGCAACAGCCTTGAGCTCTGTGAGCCCACACCTCATTAGCTGTTTCAACCCCTTCTCTGATCCCAAAATCACATTGGAGCACAAATAACAATTGTGTCCTAACCTCCAGCTTCAGGATGCTAACATCTTTGCCCTAGTGTTAGCACTTTAGGTAGTGATCAAAATGTGTCCCCCAGAGTCGGCTTCTTAGTCGGCTGCAAGGTCGTTAAACCCAAAGTTGTTTGCTGATCAGCACCTCTTTGATCAGTAAGGAATATGAAGTCCCAGGAATGTGAGAGATTACTGATGCAGATAGTAATATTAAAGGTGTGGACATACAGCTGGAAAATCAGGCAACTCGAAGCGATGAGGAAAGGCTTAGCTTTTGCTGTGCTGTTCTGTGCTTGGTGTTTTGCACTGACTGTTAGTACTATGTCGAGGCAATTGCAAATAAGAGTTTGCTGAACATGCATTTTTCTTGCTCTATGATGCACCCAAGAAGGAAGAGAGCTAGTCAAACGCTGTCCTGCCATAGGGATTTGCCTGGGACACACATGGGGCTCAAAGCAGTACAGTCAAATTTTGATTCCTGTCTTTCTTGCTCCACTTTGGATAGCAAATAGGGCTTCTGCCAGGGGGCATTAATGGGACACAAACAGGGTGTATAGAGGTGACATTTAAGGCTTTAAACCTATTAGGGAGATAGACAGCATGTACAGCTGTGTGCCAGGGCCAACGTCATGACTCCCTCCTGAAATAAACTGAAAGAATGACAAAACCAGCAATAAAGGATTAAAGGAGAGAAAAGTCCTGGAGCTTACATTTAAACTATGTCCATTGAAAACGTTAATGTTCTAATGTGGAAGTGTTCTGGCTGTGGTTCACATAGCCACACATAGGTTTTTGTAGCAAGTACAAATACAAGTGACCATGCTCAACTGATTCTAGTGGCTAGTTGCTCTAGTTGCTCACACCTGAAGAAGGCTCCACGGCCGAAACGTTGTGTGTTTTCTTTCTTCTTTTTTTCAGCATGGAATAAATGTATTACTTGTTCCTAAACTGATTCTTATTGGGTTGGTTTTCTCCTTAAAAAAACACATTCATTATAAAAGCAGACTAATGGGTGACCATCCCATAGGCAAGATGGTATCCAGGCTTGTGGAATGGAACAAGAAGAACTGCCGTCTCTCATTGGAGTTTACAGTTTGGCTGATCTAATCATCTGGACTCTCACCACAGGGGGCGAAGTATTTTTGTGCATAACTTTCTTCTCTAAATGAGTACCTTCTCATTTGCCTTTTTATGGGACAGAGATCTGGGGAGGGTGGATGTGTAGCACTGATTGGGGTTTAGTATGGAGTAATACTTCCTGTAGCTTTCTATAAATTTAGCTACCTGTTAATCATGTTGTTCATGAATGCAACAGCAATCCAGTGGTTCCAGATGCAGCGGCTCTGTCACTCATGGTGTATACGGTACTTACTGTACCTACACATGGTATGGGAGTGTGACAGATTGTTATACAGGATGTGATTGTGCCTTAAGCTCCAGAATGGTTCTTCTCAACAAGAACTGAGTTCTTGCATAACAATTGGTCTCATTAGCAGAAAATATTCTTATGGAAAGACATATACCTTGTAGTCTATTGGCTAGTTTCTTATTGCAGAATGTTAGCCCTTTTATTGCATTAACTTCCTTTCCTATTTTTCAAGCATGCTTTTAACAACTCTAAAATGAAATCCCTTCAAAAAAGTTAGCCTTTTGTTACAATATACAGTTAGTGGGTTGACTGAGATGGGTGTATACCTGCTGTGCAGTGCAGAGCAACATAAGCTGTAGCACAAGCAGCAATGTGAGTAAGATCCTCAAACCTACCAAGGCTGTATGCACAGACTAGGCACAGCTGCTTGACTCCCCATCTTGGTGTGCTCTAGTATGTAGTGCAGATGTGAGCATTGTTCTTTTCGCATGAAGATAAGGTGTCAACATAATCGTTTCCATAGAGAACTTGTTTCCGAGTTATTCAGAATTTCCTGAGGAGCAGCAAAGACATTGCAACAGAATCTGCTGAGCACTGAGGGAATCAAAGAGATGGATCTTTAAGAAACCTGTTAAAGAAATTGGTTACCTGTGATCCGTACATTGGGGGTGGGCAATGCCCTGATTCTGAACCTGCTCTTTAAGCTGTGACAATTAAAATGTGAAACCTCTTATTAAGACAGTCTTACTGTATGGAGGTGGCTTGAGCACACAGTGTGATGCAGGCTGACATAAGTATTGTACTGTCCCTGTCCCTCTCTTTGTGGTCCAGGTACCTGGGGAAGCGAGTATTTGTTCTGGAGTTAGTGGAGGGCAGTCAGGCCCATGCGGATCATTTTGTGCGGCCTGGTGACATCATTGATGAGATCAATGGGGTTTCATTGCGGAACGCCTGTAATGGACAGGTAGGGTAGAAGCAGCCTCTGACGCAAGCCTCTCACCTTGTGTTTCACGTACTGCTGGTCTCACTTCAAGAGCGGTTCCATGGCAACTTATGTTAAATGAGCTAATTCAGTATGCTGATAACTCATGTCACTGTATTTAGTAAATTATCTTTCAAACATAATAAGTAATTAAGCATCTTCAGTCTTCCTAGACTGCCATTGTTGCAACAGCAGTTAGCGTGGTGTTAACCAAGAGGTTTCTTTTCATTTTTTTCTTTCATTTAGAATGTTCTTTCTCCCATTCCTTAAATATTTAACACAGTCTCACCCTGCCCTTCTCTTTCTCCTAACCCACAGAACGTCTCTCCAAGGACCTCAGTTCTACCTACTAACCCACAGAGCCTCTTTTCAGTCCTTCAGCTCTAAGCAATCACCCACAGAGCCACACTCCAGTCCCTCAGCTCTAAACCACCACACTCTTCTTTCCTTCATTTCTCTCCCAGTCTATCCGTCCTAATCATTAGCCCACTTGTACCACCCCACAGACTTGCACACTTCTCCTTCCTCAGTCAGGTCATGTGTCCAGACCACTCTGACTGTTGTGCCCCCTCTCTGTAGGCTGGCATTGTGTTACAGAGGCTGAAAGGCAAGCCCCTAACCCTGAAGCTGATCCGGTGGCTCAACTCCGATGGCACAGTGTACCGGCCCATGGTCAAGCTGCTGAAGGCCCTGCAGCAGGAGAACCCCAAATTCCAGTTGTACCCCAAATCGCAAGCTTCAGTGGAGGAGGGGGCAACACAGTGCCTTCGGGATGGACGGTAAGGGAATGGGTGTTCTTTTGACTTTGTTATGTGATCAGGTGTAAAAAAATTAAGAGTATTTCAGTGACTGCTCAGGGACTGTCTTGGCTGAAAGGGAAACTTTAATCAAAGCAGTTGATAGGTTTTGGAGAAACAGGACAAAATCACAGCTTTCATTTTTCTCCCCCATTCTCAGGATTGTGTACATCGTGAAATACCTGGGAAAAGCAGATGTAGGAGTGGTAACTATGTTTTTTTTCCTTCTTTTTTCTTTTTGAAGTAGCTATGTGCCACTGGCTTTTTACATCTGCAGTAGGACCCCAGGTTAAGGTTGGCGTCAGTGGGGATCTGTTGATGGAGTTTTGAGTAACTACCTTTTTTGGTAATATCTATGTAGTTTATTTTATAATCAATCAAAAAAAGCATTTAATCAAAAAACAGCTGCAAAAGTGATAGGAATAGAACATTGTAAGCCTCTGAGTACCACTCTGTATTAAAGGGAATCACCACCTTATTTATTTAGAATGGATAAAACCATATTTGTGCACATGTGTAAATAAATAATAATTGTGTTTATATAGCATTTTTTTCATTCCAAATGATAACACTTTACTTATAACCAGAAAAACACATTATCTGCCACTAAAGTGCTGCCCCACCTGGGTGATACTACTCAGCCATTGTGCAACAGTAGCCCCACTATACAGTACATCAGGAGGAGTGAGAAATTGTTTCACTGGTTGATTTAAGAGGGAACTTTAGTAAGAGCAGATTGTGCAAGCTCAGAGTAGAATTTAGCCTTGGGTTAGCCCCTCTGACCTTCTGAAAATAATTGTGGGATCTTTAATAAACCAGGAGATTCAGCAAAGGGTCATAGTATGGTTTCCATAGAGGGTGGCTTAGAATTCTGTACTGTAGTTCATCATTTGACATGATTATTGTGATCCATGGTTATTCATTCGTGACTCATTCCAACTGCCCCTGCACTAACACAAGGGCAGCGAGAACAATGCTTACACTTCTCCAACACGCCCACTGACTGTACCAGTTGACATACTGCAAATTCTGGAGTGCCAGGAGAGTGCACACAGATTGAATGGGTAGTGTATTACTCACTGATGTCACTGCAAGTTCACAGGTGCTCAAGATTCAGGACTCGCTGTTACATGATAAGCCAGGGAAGCCTGAGGCTGTCTTGAGTCCATCCAAGCCTGGCTGTGCTCTTGTGGGGAATCTCGGTCTCAGTCAGCTAATGGCTCATAGAGGGCTCAACTTGTACTCTGAGTGGGCTCCTTTAACTGTGAAACTCTTGGCAGATCCAAGATAAGTGAGGTGATTTAAAGTAATATAATGCAACTCTATTTTAGTACAGTATATAAAGAAAAATACATTATGGTTGGTGTTTACCTAGCTATTGATTAAAATAAGAGGTGTGCACAGATGTACATTAAAAAAATTGTGCCCAAATACAAGACAGTATAAAGTTATTATGGGACTAAACATTGAGAAATCACAGCAAATATGTTGTTATTTGAAGGGGTTATTGAATTTTGATTTAATATAATAAGAAACATTCAGTAAAACAAAGACTGCAAGTGAAGGCTCTTGTTGTTCTCTGGTCTTGTGTTAGTGCTAGCTGTTCATAGGATACAAGACAGGTCGATAGTGAAATCAGCAGATATAGTCAGGATAGTTTGTTTCGAGGCGGTGCTCAGAGATGACGATTGGTTTATTGACACAGGGTGCTTTTTGGAGCCACTGTAGGTTTGATACAGAGTTGAAATCTGAAATCTAACCAGCTTGCTGGCACAATGGAGACAGGAGTGGTGAGAGGGGGACCGTGTGACATGACTTCTGTTTTTCAGTTTGGGGGGAAAGAAGTTCTGCAGCAAGGAATCCCTCTGGTCCTGGATCAGAAATTGCCAGGAAAGGTAAGGGCATCAGATTTTGGTAAGCAGAAAGGGGGCAGTGTGTGGATACATAGAGTGGCTGGATGGCAAACTGATGTATGCTGCTGTCAAGAGATGCCGTTGATAAATAGGGGAGGACATGTGATTGTATTTTATGAAGATACCTGCTCTAAACCCTAGCGTGCCTTAAGCATCAGAAGACAGGGAAAAGACAGATCTTGTGTTGTTGCTCTTTAAGAGCCATCTGCATTTTGAAGAGCAGCACAGTGAGCAGCAGGGATGGAAGGTGAACAACTCCTGTCCCCCTAAGACAGAGGAGCGTCCTGTCAGTGTGAGTGTTTCCTGGCACCATCATTTAGGGTGTGCACTTCAGTCCTCAGCTGGCCACAGCACTGCTAACTGGGCACTGTGTCTGAGGACTTCAGTTCTCATTTGTGGGTTTTTTTCCTTTCTTTCTCATGCGCGATTAAAGAAGAGTCTCTGGGTGTTAATTGGTAAGAAGTAATGGAAAGTAAAATCTAAACCCAGTTTCCACTGGAAAATTTCAGGAACAGAGAGTGAGAAAGTGGTAGTAAAGAAGAAATCCCACAAGAGCATCAGCTAATTTTCCCAATTTATTTTGGAATCCTAGCCTCTAGGGGGGGAAGGAATGGTGATGGAAGAGGAGGATAGATCTGGGTTTGGGATAGCCCAACACTGCCCCCTAGGGGGACATAGCTGTCATTGTCTTCTCTCCTTCCTTTTTCAGACCGTGCTGTTCGATTTGAAGGAGACCCACATCATCTGCATAGAGAAGTCCTCCAAACAGGTGAGTGTCTCTGTGATCTCTCTGATCTTCAGTCCACTGACACACTGAGCTTTCCTTGTTGCAGCTGGTCACCATACACCAAACTACAATCACCTTCTCCCGATACAGACAGGACAGAAGAAATATTACTGACACAGGTCAGCACAGAAGTAATTTCTGCATATCATTGTTCTTTCCCAGCTCAGAAAATCTGTCTTGTGTGACATTCTTAGAGCTACAGCAGTATTGTTGTAATGTATTGCGTAGGAAACAGAATCAAAGATTAGAAGAAGGAACAGAAAAAAATGCTGAAAAGTACACTGACCATTGCCTGTTTCACTTAACCCTCAGTTGTCTAACTTACTTTGCTACTCTTGGAGTGGTATCCTCAAGTAATATTTTAATGCAGTCTGTATGGGTTCCTTTTACACATTTGGCCGGTGCCATACTATCTTTTGGATATAGTATCCTACTATACCTGGCGTTTCTTGTAGCCTGTTAAAAGGGGTTATCACTCACTCATTCTAGACTCAGACTTTTCCCCTTCTTTGAAAAATTGAAAACTAAATTTACTTCCCTATCACAATTCTACCACATATTTTGCTGTGAAGTTACTATAAGACGTTTCATGTCCACATTGGGGATAAATATATGATCTGTCCAAAATTAAAAAAAGTGCCAGAATGTCCATCTATGTCAGCAAACAAGCACACCCACTCCCCAGCTCTAACAAACTCACTGCTACCTGCTGCCAATTCTTCATTTTACATATTGGCTCCCTATAGCTTCCATTCATTTCTAACATATGCTCTTTTTTTGCAAGAGCTCTATGGAGAGGCCATTATAAATAAGTCCCAATGCTCTGCATCCTTCAATAAACTTGCCTACACTTAAGTCATCAAATATTTCCAGTCTGGAAACCCTTGTACTATTCCATTTCCAGGGTACAATTGGATTGTCTTTCTACAGCTTATCAAAATGACACTTCTTTATCCAGAATGCCTCTTCTGCATGTCCTGGTCATGTTGGTTTTGGTAGCTTTGGATCTGACTGGATGGCTATTGATCATGGCCCTGCATGAGTTGCATTACAAAATGCTTTGATAACATTAATTTGTTCTGTACTATGTAGTAAAATGTACAGAAACAGGTACATTTATTTGTTATTTTATCCATTATCTGAAAGTTTATTCAGATGATGCAGTATAGCTTTTGTGTGCAGTATAGCTTTATGGCTGTTTGTGATGTGTTAAAATGTGTTAAATTTTATCTATAGCTTTATCTAAGTAAAAAAACCTAACCTAAATTTACCCCATTTTTTTTTGCATGTTTAGAAAAACCTTAACTATTAAAGCACTTCGAGAAGCCACCTTTAAAGGTGCTATTTAAAATAAAGTTTATTATTATTATAATATTACCTCATATGTTTTATATCCCTTAGTCTTTGTTCACATAATTTCCTATCCTATTTCCAATCACAATATGGAATATTGTGCCGGCGGCCCGGGCACTCAATGCCAGTGCTGGCCAAAGTAGGATTGACGTCTCCCAATAGCAACATGCTTGAATATATTTTCCAAGACAGTTTTTTAAATCCCCAGAAATTCCATTTCAATCCCTTGATATTCAAACTGTATAGCTTGCAGAAGGAATATAGGATATGAAAGCACACAGAAATCAAAGTTAGGATAACTGTTGATTTGTTAAGGTTTCCTTTCTGTAGCCATTTCACCTTTAAGGATTGCTGAATTATTAAAAATACAATACACCTGCTGGCTGTTAGAGCACACATAATATCCCTCAGGTTTGTTTACTGGAACATCTCTCTTGTCTTAGAGAAACCAGTACAATGTGCACACATACATTCAACTGTGTGGCCTGATTTAGGATTAGAGATGGGGGTACAATTCTTCAGGGCTCTGGTGCACAAAAGGTCATCTCAGTGGTCACAATGTCACATACATAAATAAATCCTTATGCCTGTATAAAACCTGGTGAGTTACTTTAGCAAACTGTCTTCATCCTCTCTCTGTCCCCCCCAAACCATTCCACCACGTCTGTCAGGAGCTCTTCCAGCACCATTACCCAGAGATCTCCTGCGTGGGGCGCTACAGTCGCTCGGACCAAACCATCTTCGCCTTCTGCGTGTCGTGAGTAGTGACACTGCTCCTTCTGTTGGTCTTAAAAAACACTTCCTGTGCTTTAATGTCCGGCTGTTCAACCAGCAGGATTGCACACGTGCTGCCAAGAAAATCGCAGTCCTGTTTACACTGTTATACAGTGCAAGAAGAGTGTTATGTGCCAGGGAAAAAAATGGTGCTCCTCAGTTTTAGGTCCTTAGGTACAAAAATGCCTCTTGAATGAGGCTATAAACCAGAATAAATTCCGTCACAAGCACTACAGAACAAGGTATAATGACATGAATACTCCTTTATAACCATGTCTGCAGATGACAGGAATGTACAGTACTATAATTATTCATCACAGTCTATAACGAGACATAGTTTCAGCTGAAGGCAAGAGCAGAACTCTCTGGTAGAGGTAAGTCTGAAAATTATGGACGACACGATTAAGGACTTCAGAACAGACAGGGACTTTCTACAGATACAGCTTAGTGTTTCTTGTGTGTTTTTTTAAGTTGCTTTTATACAGTACACATTGTTTTATTGTGTTGTGTAGTCTGGATGAAAGAATTATGACAGCGTTTTTTCACCCTTTGAAGTAAGGATTTGCTGAGCTATTAGACGAGTGAAAAGCTTCCATGAGGTACTGCATTTGTCACTTGGGATCAGAGAATAGACTGACTCTTTCAATTAAGCAAAGACATCATTATTATGTAGGAAGGCTATATGATAGATGAGGATATGTGAAGCTTTTCTACCCTGAACAAACTCCAGTGTGAAAGACATCAGAGAGAAATAAGTGCCTGCTAATCTTTTTCAGGGTTTGAAGATAAACTCCACTGGGTTTCATTACAGGCTGGAGAGTACTTGTCCGTGTGGAATTTGAATGTTCTCCTTGTGTTTGTGTGGCTTTTCACTATCTGCTCTATTTTCCTCCTCCCTCCCAGAGATATGCAGGGTTAGGTTGACTGTTTACTCAAAACTCCTTTCCCTATCGCAATATTATACTTCTTGGGATGTGTTCCCAGGTCACTCAGTACTGGTTATGAGATAAGAATGAAATAGAATCAGATGAGATAGGTAGCCAAACAGCCTTTTCTCTTATTTGGCCTTTCTAAAATCCATTCATACTAAATCTTGGGGTAACCAATTTTCCTGGGTATCTAGGGACCCCTGGAGTGTCTCAAGGATTTGTGACCTTGGACACATCATTGGGGACCCCTGATGTAGAATGTATAAGTGTGAGGAACTATATGTAACATACACAAATTCACCTTTCGATTGTAAACTTTAAGTCTCCTGCTAGCAATTCAGTTGTTGGCCATTTTTTATGTCACTATTCAGCTTTGTTACAGGAATGTGTATTGTGCGTTCCTGGAACCAATACTCCTTTTCTTTTGAGGCAGCGTGGATACGTTCTTATTTGTATCAGTCTTTATTAGTGTCTACAGACAGGCAGAGATACAAAGGGTCTTAGAACACAAGCATTTGGAACATCTCACATACTACACTACTGAATTGTACCTCAGTTTTCCACTGTGCTTCACTGTGAATTTGACTTTCCAAATCTCCCTTTAGAAAGGGATCTGAAGGAATCCCACACAGTGATGCAAGTGCTGTTTCTGTCTGTGTGGTTGTCCTGAAGTGTGGCCAGCAGGCTGCAGTAGTAGCACACATTTGTGATTGGTTGAAAGCAGGTGCAGGCACATGTTGCAATTGGCTTCAGCCCGTGGCAGCTCAGTTCTGTGATTGGCTGTGTTGCAGAGATTGCCCAGAGACCCCAGAGGCCTGCTCTTTCAGCTGTGTGGTGATGCGGGCCAGCTCTGCCCAGGAGTGCGAGGAGATTGTAAATAGAATTGGTGAGTGCTAGTCTAACCTCCTACCAGTGTACCATTGTAAGCCTGCCATACTATTTTGTACGTTTTACTACATTTACTGCAAATTTACATTGCTTTTACAAAACTAAGTTGTTATTGCATTTTTTCTTTGTATCTTCAACCCAATGTCTTTCCTTGCCTTATATTCAGTGGAGCATTAAGAAACCTCAGAGAAATAATAAAAATATAGTAAAACCTGTTCATTGAAAAACCAAACTACAAGATACAGTATGGTAAACCATAACAAGCGTGGCTCTGTATTATAAAGCAATATGTGTTAAAAATGCAAAAGTAGTAGAAACGAAGAATCTGTAGGCAACAGGGTCAGGCTATGCACTGATAATATTTTGTAAGCTGTCAAGACAAAGAGAGATTGTGGGATGTCGTCTGTTTGCAGTCTTGAGTAAGTATAGTTGGAGAAAATGCTGTATAAAAAGTGCTTTTTATCTGATCATCTGAATGTTATTCAGAGTACCGTTTGTGTTTGGTATAGGTTTATGGTTGTGTAAAATGCTGTATGAAAAGTGCTTCACTATGATTTAACTTCTTTTCCCCACTGACTAAATAATTCTCACCTAGCTTCACCACACAGCATGATTTAAATATTTTAGTTTTACACAGAGAACTCTCACACTTATTGGCAACCCGAAATTTACCATCATCACTCATTACAGTCTTACTACAAAGTACAAACACGCCATCTAGCCTTTTCTGACTTAGCCTGGTGCATAAGAATTTAAGTATTTGCATCTGAGAGCAACATTTGATTTGCCTATGTAAGAGTATGGCACATACATCCTTTTGTAAGCACAGAATTTATTGATCACCATTCCTAAGACACTGTAGCATTTTTGCACTTTTGTCAGACTTTTAAAACATTTTTCTGTATTCTTTATTTTTTCAGCTGCAGGTTTCAAGCACACAGAGTGGTTTGTGTGAGAGCAATCCATCACAACACACTGCTGGTCCAGCGCACTACAGTGCAGATGACAGGCATGACAATGACTTTGGCCAGATGACAGTGGCCCTGGGTCCTCAAATCCAGTCCAACCTGGTCTCTCTCTGGTCTTTTGCTTCCTGTGCAAAAGACACCAAATGGCCTGACCATGTGTGTTATGGAAAATGTGTACATTGTCTTCACCTCTCCTGGTTCCTGTGGTAAAATTATGGGTTTTGTAGGAACTGGGAATTAAATATTACATGGTAGCTCTAAATGGAGACAGGAAAATTTAAAACAAATGTTCTCTCTGATTAGTTAACTTTCCTGATCTGTGTGTGTGTGAAAAAGCGTCAGGGCTGAGCTTTGAGTAATGGAGCCTGAACCTAGAACCAGTGCGCTAGCCTCAGTGACTGAAGCCAGACTTGAAATAGGAGGCTTCACTGTGGGCTTCTGTGGTTGGCCCAATGAAGTTCAATGGCCCAAATCTTAAAAATATGATACGGACCAAGGAGCTAACAAGCCAGTGAAGTCTAATCACTAGCCTTTCTTCTTTCATAATGTTTTGTTGATCGATCTGCTGGAACCACCTGAAGAAAATGAGATTCTGTGGAGAACCAAGATCTACCCTTACGTTTTTTTTCCTGTAGGTTTTGTAGTGACATCAAAAGTCACAAGGAGATAAAGGCTTCCACAATCCTCACTGTTTCCCTCAGTCAGTTATATTTAACAAATTAAATGTCTAAGGTGTTGATTAATGGTGGTTATTATTAATCTTCACAGGGTACTGTTCTTAAAAACATCAGAGTATAGAACATCAGAGACATTTTACCCAAGATGCAGTAAAATTGCAACTTTCAGCAACTCTTGTCTGTGAGTCAACATGAGATATTCATTTGTCCTCTTGTTTTGAAATATCCACTGAAAACCATGAAATTCTTTAACCAAATGTACAACCAGCCTCAGAGAAGCTGATCGACACAAAGCCTGGGTGCCCTTGGATTGTTCCATCTCATTTTGGGGGTGGTGGCTGTATATGGACTTTACATCACAGCAGAAGGTGCATTTTCTAAATACTGTCACTGAGTGTTTGGTTATAAATGCTTCTACAAATTAAACAGGTATCTTGATCTCTTCTAAATTTGGTCTCAAAACCCCCCTTTTTATTTTCAATAATTCATTACAGCAAGAAAAGCAGGGGTGATATCCGACATACCTTGGCTGAATTTCAGGTGGGAGGATGGAGTAGTGGTTTGGGGTCTGGACTTCAACCTAAAGTGTTGTGCATTCATATTCCAGGTGGGGTTACCATTTCTGTGCCCTTGAACAAGGTACTTTACCAAGATTACTCCAGCAACCCCAGCTATATAAACTTAAACTAAAGTTGATGCAAAAAAGGGACATTTTAAATTCCAATTGTATCTTTTCTCAGCCTAAATTAATAATTTGCTTCACCTGGTGTGTTGTTTTGAGATGTTGGCTAGGTCTTGCTTTTGATGGTTTAACTTTTGCAGTATTTTTGGTTTGTGGGAGTATGATTGCTTACCTTGACACTTATTTGGAGATCATCATTGCCTAAGCATGTACACAAATGATGACACTGAGTTGGGATGGGTATTGCGGTATTTAACAGGAGATTCCAAATAGGCTGCACTGAGCATGGTTATATATATAACAAAATTGGATAGAAGCACGTTTTCATAAGAGAGTAATGATACTCAATCCATAATTTTCTTAAGAACCAGTAAAGTAGTAAAGGTCCTAGCTGTATACAGTATAAGAAGATGTTTGTGTAATTAATATTAGAAAAGCATTTGGCCCATTATCCATGTAGCTCCTTTTTGTTGACCTGTTTCTGTAACATGTTGGTGTAACACTGTGTGCAAGAGGTCTTTCTGTTTATAACAGCATGTGCATTTAGGGAAGATGTTACTTTTAAACAGAAAACTCCAGGGACTATAACAGAGCTATGCCTTAACTGTTTCTTATTAAAATGCAGTTTGAGCTGACAAAATTGTGGAACAAAAACAAGCCAGTAAATGGGTTTAATGCACTCAAATTATGTAGTCGTACATGTTAATTCATCCATAGAAATGTACATGTACCAAAACAGCAAAGCTCAAACATATTAATAAAGATAGAACAAACTAAACTATTAGTATTGGAACCAAAAAAATGTTTTCCCTTATCAATGCCAGTCAGTATATGTTCTTTATTCAAAGGATTGAAGGATTGATTTGTCTGCTATTAATAGCCATTTTAATGTCTAGCATACCCATGAACTCTGGCTAGGGGTGGAATTCTCTCTTAAAAACAGTTTACCACAGTATTGCTCCAGGCTGTATTCTCATCACACTCGATTTCCTTCTTACAGGATCACTGTAGTGTTACAGTATTGCTCCAGACTGTGTTCTCATTGGACTTGAGTTCTGTCCTAGATACAGAGGCATTGTTGTGCTACAACAGACTCTATTCTTCTTTGGCTGAAGTTCATTGACTCTGCATCTTAGAGTGAACTGCAACACAGTTTTTACATTTTAGGTTTATAATGAATCGGCAATGATGAGTCCATTTCAAACCACAATGAATCCACCAAGGACACTAGAATGTGTACCACTTTCAATTTACATCACAAAAAAAGACGGAGTTTCAATATATACGTAGTGCCATATTGCCATCATTGTCTGTCATTCAGAACAAAACTACCAGTGATGCGAAAGCAGCACCATTATATTGTAAATATGCTTTAGACCAAGCAAACTTTGCTACTATATTAATTTTTAAAATGTTCATGAAACTAACACAGACAAGGCAACATGTTTTTTCAGATATTATCAAAGTATTGGAAAAAAGCCAACTAACAAAAACACACTCATATATCAATTTTCAAGTTTTGCATTCACTATTCACTCATTTACATTGGTGGTTATTTTGTGGTAAATCATACGTTAAAGAAAATTTTGAACAGGGCTTATATTATTGGAGGACTTACCATAGTCCATGTCGTTGCCTGAACAGCTGATTTGACTAAGTACAATTGAATTGAATTTACCATATTTACTTTGAGATGGTTTTGGAGACAAATGCTAATTAGTTGTTAGCTCTGCATGCAGATCATGTTGGAACACTTCTGGGGTGAAATGTCTGTGCACAACCTGTACTTATTTGATCGTACTTATTAAATCTCAACCAGAAATTTGTCAGCGGGACCAACATCAGTGTTTATTACCCATCTCTTGCCTAGTTTAATATCCCTTGGAAAGCAAACCGTTTGATTTGCTGCTGATCCTCTGTTTTGTGTGCTACCACTGTGTTCTGAACAATCAAATGCTCGACAGTGAGACATCCTTTAAAAAATGTATGCAAATTCAAAAAGACAAAGAAGGATTCATTTTCTGAGAAGACTATGTTTTTCATCTGCTTACAGTGACTAGTGAGCAGGAAGGGCCACTTTTATTTCACAATTTGTGCAAATTCTCACTCTTGTGTGGTGAAACCTATTATTTGCGTCAACATGGCGGCCATACTTTCACAAAGTTCACAACTTTGCACCTAGTTTGAAAGTTGCAAAATTCTGAAACTGTCAATGTATTTTGTCACAGAGAGACACCGGTCTTAGAAACAGATTCTTATAAATTAATCCACAGGCAATATAAGGTTTCAGATACCGCTCATCTTTGCTTCACCAATTACTGCACTTCTAGGGACCTGATTCTGTCACTAAAGGAGTTGTGTCTCCATTAACTTTATGAAAAAGTGTTGTTGTTATAAAGCTGATCCAGCAGAAAAACTTTTCCCCGTGGGTCTAGAATGGCTGTACTGTGTTATACACCTGAGCCATTACAGTAACGAGCAGCAGTGAAAATGAGCAACTGCAGAGCACTAGACTGCAGATGGGGTGTTAGAGATCAAGCTGAACCCTGAAGGTCCTGTAAATCACTAATCATGAAAGAACTACTGTGAAAAGTAATTTCGCCAAATTTTAATTGCTTCTTGTGCAAAGTTAGTGTTCCACAAACACACACAGTATTGAATGGCTGCTCGGATGCTTATCTATACAGAGAAAGCTCCCTTTCCCCTTTCTGTATGCATTGAGAGAATTGTTTGTGAAAGTCGATCGTCCTTGCTGTAGAATTCAAAGATGTCCATTACTGTTCTAGGTCTTGAGCTTTGGACTGAAGTTCCTGCTAAGCTTCAGCACTGACCAGTCCTTCAGTGTCATCCTCTCCTATGTGGTCAGCCTCAGTGCTGTTGCCCTTGCTTTCTGGTCTAGAGCAGTTGCTTGGATATTCTTGCTTTCTGTTCTCATGGTCATTGCTGTCAGGTTCGGACAGCGGGGCAGGTTGGCCATAAGTCCTCTCAATTTCGTCCATTAGCTTCTCAAGGTCTTGGTCTGTGTCATTTGTGTCATCTGTGTCATCTGTCATTGCGGTTTCCTTCATCTGAGGAGCAGCCCTACTTCCATCCTTGCTGGGGCTGCCACCTTCATCCCAGGGGTCTTCATCAAGCTGCATAGAGAAAACACACAAATACATTCCTATAATTTCAATCCATTTTCAAAATCTAATCCTTGACACATAACAACTCAAAGTCCTGTCACCACAGGAAATCAGAATAGTGATCTGTGCCTGCACTTAATCATTATTAATGGGATTGTATACAGTACATGCTTATGGTAAATGGAAAAACAGCAGTTGTGTAATGCAGTATTTAAATCAGATGAAAGAATAAAGGGGCACTTTTTTAACCATGAGCAACATGTACGTCTGAGGTTTTACATCATTCTGCTACACCAGTGCTGTACCTTAATGAAATTCATAACCAATGTTTGGGAGGAAGGTTAAATCCTAATCTTGCACATGTCACATGTCAGCTTGCCTACATATATAAGTCACACCCAGGTCTCCCTTTGCGTATCTCTTTTGCATTCCCCTTACTTCCCCATCTACAGCTTTTTAGCATCTCCCTAGCTCAATCCTCAAATTAATGAGGGGGGTTGGGGATGCTTACTCTATCTTCACGGCTTGACTGCCATTCTCTCAGCTAAGTGAGTCACATTAATTATGTCAAAATTAATTTAGACCACAAAATATCAAATCCAAACCTTTGAAGGGACTTAGTTTAAAGGCGCCAATACGTAATTTGTATTGTTAGTCAACTAAATATTTCAAAAAGGAACAAAAACATACAGGGTTAATAAGGTGCTCTCCAATGTATGTTGATTGAAACAGTTGAAATGTGAACCTCAACTACATTATAAAATCAAACAGCTCTGCTAATGTTTCATTATAAAAAAACTTTAGTTCAGGACATAAACGCTTGCCTCAACAGAGGTCCAATACTTGTATGATCTGCATATTTTCTAGCAGCACTTGATAAACTGTCAGCAGTTAATAAAGCATCAAGACCTCTAGGCTTTGCTTAAATTTGTGGTAAAAATCAAATGACATTTAATTCTCAACTTTTGGGAAAGAATCTAATTAGAATGGCCATGCTTCCAGAAGGCATTTTTGTGCATTAAACATTGACAGGATTTACTAAATTCTAACAAAGCTATGAGTGTGTACCCTTCTTTTTTATGTTTTGCATCCTCTATAAATAACAAGGAATTCTACTCCAAAGAAGAGTCACATAATATATTTCCTAGCTTAACAGGAATGCCTTTCAGATACTGGATAAAAGAGTCTTGATCTGAGAAAACCAGTAGAAGACTTGAAGAATCAAATATTGGAAATTCTCATAGGCTTTGACAAAATCAGTTCAATCGACCCTTTCATAATCATCAGTGAAACATAAGTCAGAGGACACCATTGGAAACTAAGGGAAAACACTTTTAAGACTGAGATCAGGAATCACATTTTTACACAGTTATGTTGTTGAAACCGCTGCCGTGGTTTCCTACAAGAATTGGCCAGAATCAGCCACAAACAGCCCGATGGCCCTAGATGGGGGCCATTTGTAACCTTATGTTTTGCTGTTCACCTCATCCAGCAGCTGATCCAGCTCTTTGAGGAATTCCTCGTTCTCTCTCTTTCTCTGTGCTGCTGTCCTTTTGCTGCGCAGGGCAATACCATCTCTGGCATCTGCGGCCCTCTGCTCTCTTTTCACTAAAGCATCTGCCTGGACAGTGACAAAATACACTTCCTCAATCTACTCTGATCCCTGAGAAAAAAGATTAATCCAAAATCCAGCACTTGTAGGGGATGAGCAAATTATCCATGTATGTTCGTATTATTAACGCAGGTACATCAACACTCAAATGCTATGACCATGATAATGTTTCTTTGTTCTTAGCTTTGATGCCAATGTCAGAAATTTGTCTACTGTCAATATTGTTTTCTTCATGGCACTGGGGAGCATTTCTTAATACCGGATGCTGAGACATTTGTACTTTAGTACTTTTTCTAAAAACAAGAGTTTTTTCATTCTTAGAGTACAATAACCTGAAAAGTGTAAAGAAGAAATGTGGCATATTTAACTAGAAGGCGCAACTGAATTTAGAGAATGAGGGTCAGTGTTTCTGTGATGGACTGATCCGTTCGGGGTGTACCCTGCCTTGTGCCCATTATTTCATACACTCCGGCTAACCGCAAGCCTGTATTGGATGAAGCAGTTACAAAATGGATGGATGGATGTATCTTGCATTTTTTCAGTGATGTCTGCTGTCAGCCTAAGCCTTTATACAGCAGTGGTGTCCTACAGACAAGCAGCTTTGCTTGGTCTCCTGAATGTTTATAGTTCTTTAAGACTTGGAAAGAAAACTGTCCTTTTGGTTGAGTAAGCTCTGTGGAACTGGCCATTGCTTTGTAGGGTCAGTCAGAAAAGGGCTGTGGATCTGATCCCTACAGAGCCATAGGGTTTCATCATCACGCATTTAATACCAAGACTATTTCTTTACTCAAAGGGTTGGGGAGTATGGGAAAAGCTACTCAGCCATGTTGGTGAAGATGATACCCTAGTTTCTTTTAGACAGCTGCATGAGATCCTTGAAATAGATTATCTACTAACTACCAAAGAAGTTAGATGGGCCACATGGCCTCCTCTCATAACCATTCTTATGTTCTTATTTGGGCTCTCATGGCCTTAATTAAACTGATTACTGGGTTATTGTGGGGGCAAGGCTAATTGGCTGGGGTGGGGAATTTTCCATGTTTTCTACAGCCAAGGAGGTAAAGAAAACATGAGTATTTGTGAATTTTGAGTTCTGGCTATCACTGTCACGAGCAATCCCATTTCCATGAATTCCATTTTGATTTCATGCCAGGTTGGTAAACAGGTCACAGAGTAAGAAGGCTTGCTAAGATGTTTCCATTGTAATGGTACAACTTGTGGGTAACCGGACACAACATAGAACATTTACCAGGATTTCTGACTCTAAGTGTCTAAATTGAGGTTCTGTGTTGTTTTATGTCTTTTAGCAAGGATTTCCCATATGATGTTACATAAACAAAATTGCCAGAGAAAATTGGAAAAGTCAATGTGAGAAACTTGCCTATTGTTAGTATTTTCTTTCTTCATGGCACTAGGGAGCATTTCTTAATATTGGATGCTGAAGCATTTGCTGGTGTATTGTTTCTTTCTATGTTTCTGGTTTCTTTTTAACGATGCTCTGTGTTAATGATACATTTATCAGGATTTCCAATTCAACACATTCCTGTGGTGCTGTTCTTTAACTGTCAAGTCGTAGGTGAAGCCCTGCCTTAGGCAACATCATGCCACTAACAGACCCGCAGGGAACTCTGGGATAGTATAGTTCTGGCCCTGGGCGGCTTTTTGTAAGAATAATGCAAATAGTGTGGCATGTCTTCACAATAGTAACAGTACAATGGCTGCAGTGTGCTCACCAGGAAGAGAGAGTCCTCTCACCTCTTCCAATAGCTGCTCCATATCCGCAAGGAATTTCTCATCCTCTGCCCAGGTCTGTGTCTTTTTCCTCTCTCGGTGGGTAACAATCCTGATCCCTTCCTCTCTCACACTAACGTCTCTACCCCAGTGTTCAGTGTTAGCCTGGACAGTAAGAAAACTCACTTCTAACTGTTCAAATGCAGAAGTAGTGAGGCAGAGAACTGTAGTGAGGCAGATGGGGCACATTGACTTCATCTACAGTGTGTACTCTTTCAGAGAAGATTTTAGTTTTAGGTCTGCGAAATGCGCATTTTATAATAATTGTAAGCACCGGTAAATGTAAAGTCACAGGGTCTCTTTAAACTTTGCATTTTAACAGAGGTTTTACTCATTCATTTCCACTGAACCACCCTCTATGGTTCAACCTTTGTAGTGCTGTAACTGTAATGTAGTGCTAAGAGTCCAGTAGCAGCTATGATGCAGAATGTGTGCAATTTAGAATACCTTTGAGTAAATGATTAATGCAGAGGCCAATATTAAATTTCCGTGTGCTGCAAAAACATTTTTCTTTCTCTGAAAATGTATTGTTGGAAGATAATTTCACTGTTCCGTACAAGAGGGTAGTCACAGGTTTTATGCGGTCCAAATACAGATTCGTAAGGGAAATCATAGTATTTGTACGGACCGTCGTATACCGTGTATTTTCAATGTTCTGACTGTTCTGTCGTTTCCAGTTTCTGACTCAGGACAAGGAACAAAAATCTATTAACAGCTCAGCTCGCCCTGCACTTTAGCTTGAAAGTCAAATCACAGCAGGTTTGGAAACACGTATTGAAGTCCGACAAATATCGAAGTTACGCCTCCAATTTTCAAAAAACAAGCGATCAAAGCAAAACTCCACAGACATCTTTACTTGTTGCAACACTTGTGGTATGTGTGTAATATACGCTATCTGTATTCAATATACGGTGTGCATTCAATGTAATTATAATAAAATAATAATAATAATAATAATAATTGCTTACACTTATATAGAGCTTTTCTGGACACTCCAGTCAAAGCGCTTTACAGGTAATGGGGACTCTTGGATGAGGATCTTATCAACTCACTACCAAGCTAGATTTCTTAAAAGACCTTTTGTTTGTAGCCTATTTATGTTCATTTTGTATATCTGGGTAATATACGGTACAAAGTTAGATACCTTCTTGATACCTTGAACTCCAATGCAACGTCTCCCATTTATATCTAGTTTAGTGCTATTGACAGGCTATGGGAAACAGTCATTTTTCTCAATTATCAGTTGCATTAAGCATTTTCTAAATTTTTTTTGCTTAAGATACAAAGAAATTAAGAATAAGCTGTGCATTGGTTTAATTGTATTTGTTAGACTGTTGGCTGTTGTTTTAAAAAATATGGTTTACTTCACAATGTCCCGAGTAGTTCACTGTCGCAAATCAACTCTTGTTCATTAAAAACAAAAAGTTAACAGATTGAGCGGCGCTTTTGACTTTGAAGCAATTGCACCAGAGGTTAAAACCCGATACAACACATCTTTTGTTCAAATGAATCTGCTATTAACTTTTGACAGCTTGTATTGGTCACTTATATGGATGTTGATTCATAAGGTCACTAAGTGGCGTCTTGCTCTTCGGTCCTGGTTTCGTTTATTTCCCGGGAGATACAGAGTGGAGTTTCCATTCTCTGCCCATGGACCCGTTGGGTACTCCGGTTCCCTTCCCCATTTCAAAAACCCGCTTAGAGGGTAATTAACATCTCCAAATTGTGCTCCGCTTATGCAGGGATCGTTTCAAAATGCTACAACCTCGTATTTGATTAATTCTAGACCGTTATGGAAAACGATGGGTAAGGTAAAATTACTTACCCCAGTAGTTGAAATTGATTTTTTGTTGAACTTCCCCTCCATGTCTGTCAGACGTATCCTTAGTTATAGTCTTGTCAAAACTATGAAATTGTCCACACGTGATCACTTTTACAGGCTGACGTCACAGTACCCGCACTTCTAAACGTCATAATGGGCCAGCGTCTGCGTTTAAGCCTGTTTTGTAGGAAAATGTCATTTATCGAATATGCTACTGCGCGTTCAGCATAAACAAAGCTTGTTGCAATTTGAAATAACATTGGTTTTGGAAAAAGAATATGATCTTAAGGATAAATTTGACCCTAGGCAAAACAGGATTCTAGAATTTGTGTTTTGCAGACATTACCTGCTTTGTTGTTATTCCTGATATTGTGCCATTACTTTAAATGTAGAGTTAAGGTCAAGATTAAAACACAGGGACATCCCATCAGAGACCACTCAGCCCATCTTGGACCTTTGAACTGTGGTGAAGTGGTCACTTTTGCTCCCTTGCACTACTGGAAACCACAGTTCAATTCTAGAGCAGAGGCACTGTGTGTGTGTGTGGAGTTCCTACATTTGCCTATGTCTCATCCAAGTGCATCAGCTTCCTCCCACATTCCAAAACAGACCCGTAGGTGAACTGGCTTGTGTGGAAGACTGGCCCGCCGTCTCTCGCTGTATGCCCTGCAATGGGCTGGCATCGTGTCTAGGGCTTACTCACCCTTCTGGGAAAAGTTCCAGCTCCCTGTGCCCATGAACGGGATGTAGTTAAAAGTTTTCCCCAGAATATTTCAGATAGCCATAACATTAAAGCTACTATACTGCAAACCATGTATACCAGAGAAATGGCAAGGGAAGCCATATTGGTACAAGGAAACAAGACCAGAGCAATTCCCAGAAAATGGTCCAAATGCCAGCAACATCAACTGCGATTGTGAAACCACAGTTTGACTTCAAATTAGTTAGGTGTTACTCCAAGAAAAAGCAGAAAGACACCAAAATTCGCAAAGTCATTTAATACAAAGACTACTACAATGTGACAACAGAACATCATAAATAGTGTTAAACTGTAGCTGCCAAGGTTTACATAAAAAAAAAAAGAATACAAAAAGCAGGCTGGACTATTCAAGGTGCCTGCTCGCACAGAATAACCATCTCAGTGACACAAGTAACCAGTCTCCCATTCTGTACAGGGAGGAACTAACTGGTCAGAGTGGGATTATTGCAAGTGAAAGGAGCTCAGCCATCGGGGATTAGAAGATCCAGCATGTGCCGACAGCACCCACCACACACCAGCAGTACTCAATTCCTACCAAGCTCTTAAGATAGAGGAAGTTGCCACATTGGAAACTTTGCAATGTTTTAAAATCAACATAACTTATGAGTTGCATATTAAACTCAACAGATGAAAAAAAGGCAACAGCCAAAACTTCTTTAATACCAAAAATACAAATTCTGCCAATTTTGCTGTAGGCTTGACATGATCCAACAGCTCAGCTGCAACAAAAAAAAAAAAACAGCTGGGGGGGGGTCGATCCCCAGATCTGGGAGCCCCTCCATGACATCAATGCTGTCTGTATTGCATATGAAGACTTCCAGCCTGTTACCAAGATCAGAACACCAAGAACCCAATAGAGCTCAGGGCACAAGTGGGCTCATGAGTTGTGGGGCTAGAACTGCTGGTTCTTGAGCAGTTAACACAGTGGCACTCCTGAGCCAGGGTAACTGCAATACTACAGCTTACAAGGAAAACCCAAAAGATAAACCAAGCCCTCTGCTTCACAATCAAAGCAGTTTCATAGGAAAATAACTGAACTACAAAAATAATAGCATGGTTCTGCAATACAAATACCCAGTCAACTGAAACATTTACATGCCAATTAGTGTTACATGTTGGAACTTAAATAACCAACTGTAGCTGCCATATTCTCTTTAAGTGAGCAGGATATGCTGCCACACTGACCTAAACATCACAGGAACCAATCTGCCCAGAAGGCAGATGTGGAAAGTCATCTCACTGGTCTTAGGCGAGAATGCAGCATACTCCCCACTCCAAGATATCCCCACTAGTGCCAGAGCCACAGGCTGTACGCTCTCATCCTGAGTTAGATTTGTGGAATGACTTGACAATTAGTAAAAATCTTAAATTACACCTTAAAAACTGGAAGGATAAAATAAGTGTCCACAAAAAGTGGTAAATAAGGTATGATACACGTTTCAGAGGCTAGGCATGAGGCTCTTCTCTAAGCCCTCTCGCCCCTTATCCTGCGGGCCAGCTGGATGTCTTTGGGCATGATGGTGACCCTCTTGGCATGGATGGCACACAGGTTGGTATCCTCAAACAGACCCACCAGGTATGCCTCACTGGCCTCCTGCAAAACACAAAAAGTTAATGCCAATTAACAGCTACAACAAGGGGAACCTTTTAAAAGAGGACTACCCAAGGGCAGGGTTAACAATATCTCAAAGCACACTTATTGACAAGCAGAGGTCTCCTTGCTACTAGTTAAAATGTGAATACGCCAGCATCTTAAACCTGCTCCTCAATAAAATAACTGGCAACTGTTGTCAGTATTGATAAACTGGCCTTTAAAAGATGGCAATAATGCACCCTAAACTTCTGAAGGCTCCCCCCCCCCCCCATCACTACCAAATCTAGTCACAAACCCTACCTGCAGGGCACCAATGGCAGCACTTTGGAAGCGCAGGTCAGTCTTGAAGTCCTGAGCAATTTCTCTCACCAGACGCTGGAAAGGCAGTTTGCGGATCAGCAGCTCAGTGGATTTCTGGTAACGGCGGATCTCTCTCAGAGCCACGGTTCCTGGCCTGGGCAGAAATGGGGGAAAAAATTGGCACAGAAGCTGGGCTTCCACAGAAATGGCAGTCAGTCCAAGTCAAAAAACAAATCCTAGAATTAACTCTTCCTCAGTCAGGCACAAAGCCAACCCACATGCCTGCTAGTTTCAGCATCTGCCTGAATTTACATCTAGAGGGACTGTCCTGGAGGGCCAATTTTTCGGTTCCCTATAAAAAGTGTTTAGCAATTCCTTTGGGGCTGGCAATTACTGACTTAGCAGCAGTGGTGTTTTTAAAAGATGAAATAACAAACAGAGGACAACCACTAATCTCAATATGGCTGACAGGCAGCATAACAGATATTTACCTCCCATTTCAAACAAACTAACATCAGTTCACAAAACCTGAGGTAAAGTAAAAAAAAACCTGTATAACCATTTTAATAATACTGGGTGTGTGGTGTGTGGAAGTTTTACCTGTAACGATGGGGTTTCTTCACTCCGCCAGTAGAGGGCGCACTCTTCCTAGCGGCCTTGGTGGCCAACTGTTTCCTCGGCGCCTTCCCTCCGGTGGATTTACGGGCGGTCTGCTTAGTACGGGCCATCTTCACTCACCTGGAAACGCGAACGTTACAACAGGTCACAACAGAGTCTCCCGCGACCCATGCAGGCATCCCCGGTTTGACACGATTTAAAAAACAAAAACGAGCAGCAGTTTTCAAAGCCACCGAACCGGGGGGGGCATACAAAAACGGCTAGCTCCCCCGTCTCCCCAGGGAGAGCTCGGCGCGGAACTGGCTCTTCTAAAATGGATTCTTTCAAACGAGTGCAACATGAGCTCGAATCGCAACAGCTGTAAAACGTGAAGCCGTCGTCCGCCCCCCACGGCGGAGCGGGCTGCGGCCCCGGCAGGCGGTCGTGACCGCTGGGAGGCAGCGCGCTCGAACAGCCCACATCCCCGCCAGGCCTAGCTGCCGAGACCGCCCGCTTACATAATCGTACTGCGGTCTTTTGTCTCTCCCTATCCTCGCCTGAAGAGCTTTATTCCTGCAAGTCTCCCTAACCGACTCGCTTAAAACATCGATTCCCCCCCCACGGTAACTCCTCATTATCGTGCAGACCTTGAGCCAGCAAGCGGCGATACACTTCAGGCTCCGGGCATAGACCACCGTCCCTCCTCCTGCGTTATGAGGCCAAAGACCGTTGGTCAAAGCCTCGCTCCCTACCACCTTGTGGAGGCCGAAAGAGAACGAGGGACCGGGGTACAGCCAGGTAATGGAGATATCACCCCAATATTAACTACGGGGAACAACGACCTTCTCGACAGCAACATATCGATTTCAAAATAGCTTTTAAAAAAAATACTGAAAAACTGTACCTTTTCGCTGTACGATCCGCGACGTCTGTGCTGGGGAATTACTCCAAAAGCTCCACCGAAACTCTCCCACCCCACGGTTCACAACACTGTCCTACCCCCCTCCTTCACTTTTGCTATTTATAGATCCAATGACGTCGTATCAAAAGTTTTTTTCTTCGCATTAGTCTTTCGCCGATTGGATGAAGGTGTGGAGACTCACACGCAGATTGGATGAAATGATGACACCTGATTGGTTGTTCACGCTAATGTCCCATTGGCTTCCTGAATGAGGAACTGTGACCAATAAGAGCGTTCGCTGCTGGAGCCTCACAGTTGTCATTTGGTTAATTTTATTCCTCTCCCATGTGGCTAAGCTAAACATAAACATTTTAGTAAATTTCGTTCCATCTGTAAAAAATAGACTGCTCCACACGAATACGAATTCCTGCATCTTAGATTTGTAATTTTGGGATGCAGTTTTTAACATGCTCACCAAGATGGTTTCACTTATGGCACAACTAGTTTTTTACCTATTCAAAACGACTGAAACAAAATGGCCAGTTTTAATGTTTTGTCCTCTAAACATAGTGCCCCTGTTCCTGAGCGATGCAGCTTTAATATGTGCTGCTTTATATCGTTACACGTGAAGTTAATACACTGTGCGTGGTAATTTGGAAAGATTCTCCTAAAAGAAACCAGACTTCTGGTTTTGAGAACAAAACCACAATGTTTCTAAAACGTGAACAATAAACATGGCTTCCAGACTAAAGCTTACACAGCACCAGACTGACCGCCATTCATTATTAAACGAAAATAGCTTTATATGTCACGTTAAAAGACAAAAGCTTTACAAATGACATGTTTTCTATTTTTAAACGCATTTAAATATTTAAAAAAACACAACGAAAGTTATGCAAATGCATTTTACATGAAAAGCACAAAACTCGTATAACAAAACGAACTGTGGAGCAGCGGATGGGTTGTCTGCGCCTGCTGTGCTTTAGTTTTGCCCGGTACACACATTACCCTCATCGCAAGACAATCCTGTCAGTGTTAAAGCTGCACCTGGGGTCTCCTTCCGTATTTTACTCCAGTATAGAACTAATAGAGGTCTTGAGAATTACTTTACAGATGTTAAAACGTTAACTGGGGGGGAGCGAGTGTCTGTTGACTGCTAAGATAAGGTGGGTTTAGTTTGGCTGTGTATGTCTCAACATCGTGAGGTGAGGGGAAGGTGTTTTTGCACTCGGGCAAGATGCTTTCAATACATGTATACAGGAGTAACAAACAGCTAAAACAGCTTAAAAACATTACGTTTTCCTTCTCAGACATTCCCGCTGTATAAATACAGTAAAATAAAGCCTGATTTAGACATTACCAAACATATACAGTTGTAAAATGCAATAGTCGCGCACTAAATTAAAGCAGCCTTCGTTTTTTTATCGATTGATTTCAGTTATTAACAAATATTCTTCCTGTAGTCCATACGAGCGAACGCTTGGACCCAGACACTACATCTCCCAAGGTCCCCAGCGGTAGCCCCCCGGTCTGTTTCCCGTTCCCCGTGCCAGGCGCAAGCGCACTTCGAGTAAGAATGCGGACCTCGACGTGTAGACAACAATAATAAAGGAAGAGTGGCGCTGAGAGAGAAGGGAATATGTCGAAAGGCCCCGCGCCAGCGAGCTCCTCCTCGGGGGCTATCGCCGCAGCTGGATCCGCCGCACCCACGACCTCCGCCTCCTCTGCAGCCGCAGGCTCGGCGTCTCCCGCCAGCGTGCTGCACGCACAACCCGAGAAACCGCAGCACTACACGTACGTAACACACCCTCACGTGCACGGACACGCGCAGGCCTCTCGCACCTGACGTGGCGCGGGGTGGGAGGGCTCGCGCGGGCGGTTCTATCCGGTTCGAACCGGCCCGGACCGAACCCGACTAGAACCGATTTGTTCTGAGTTCCCGGAGGTACCAGTTCCAGCCGGTGTGGTTCGGGAATGGGCGGGGAAACGATCTTAAAACGAATCTCATCAAGTCGTCTTCCTTGAATTCGACATTGTTGTCATCTTTGTGCCCGTCTAGGTCGTTTTTAGCTGAAGGTTGTGCTTATACCTAGTCAACACCGCTAACATATTTGCCGATTTGTTTCGGTGCTATTCTGTTTTTAATCGGTACTCTTTAGTGGGAGCAGCTGCAGAAATGTATTGATTTAAAACAAGCGTATGCTTATTACAATAAAATGTTTACCGTGAATTACCTATAATATATAGCATAATAATACTGAGTCTTTATGTAAAATACTGCTTTTTTTCAAGCCCAAAGATACAACATAGTTCTGCACACCTGTACACCCGTAATCACTTATAGATTTCGTGAGTTTTTTGGTGCCCATTATTTGAAGTTTGTTTTGTTTTCTCTCGACGTGCCTCATACGAGAGGAAATATTAAATATTTCAGAAGAAACGACGTTCACACTTAAGGGTATATACAGGAATTTAGTTTTCATTCTCTTGTACCCCAATCTCCGGGTAAAGCAATCAAAGCACTTTCATCATGCTCCGTATTTAACGTCTCTGATTTTCTTTAATTTGTGGAGATGGCTTCCATCGTATTAGTTAGTATTAAGGAACAAGTAATAGGTTTATTCCATGCTGAAAAAAAGAAAAAAACACAACGTTTCGGCCGTGGGGCCTTCTTCAGGTGTTAGTATTAGTTTGTTACAGCCGGGTGACCAGTTCCTGCGGCACGCTCACACCTGGGTACAGGTGCGCGCGCCCCCTCCCTCTTCCCGCTTGCCCATATCAGTCGCGAGAGCCCCGGGCTACCAGGGTGCATCCGGGTTTCACAGCCTGACCTGAACCCAGAGAGGTGATTTTGCTTAAGGTGGCACCTTACCGAAGCAGGCCTTTTGAGCGAAGGTATCAGTTTCGGCTCGACGTTTGTATCCATCGTGGCATTTCTTGAGTTTTTCAAAAAAAGAAGACCCATGCCTCACTTACTGTGCCAGTGGAGAGAAGTTTGTACGCGTTTTTGTACGTGGTCTGCTCTCGCACAGTGGCATTAATTTCAAAAGGGCTCAAATGAAGAGCTGTGTTTGTGGCTTGATTTGATTTTGAGCTACTATTGCTAGCGTCTTTGTTAATACTTGATTACTGTAATCGTCTATATTATCAGGTGTGATTATGTTTTTGTGTCTCCATGCCAAATATATATTGATGCCATTTCTACAGCTCTTTTTAAAAAAAAATATCGTCCTTTCCAAAAAGATTGTCTTTAGTTAGTTTCCAGTATCGATGGAAATGCTGATATTTGGTAAAATTGTCCTGCCGAATTATATAGTTAAATAAACGCAGTATAATGATAACAACAATCAAAAAAAATTATAATATATAAAGTCTTTCTTGAAACATCATTTTAAAGTGCAGGGCAATTCAACATTTAAAAGAGATATAAACACATAACATTACAGTAAATTCAAGATTTAAAAGCTGGATCATAAAATAGAGCAGTTCACCAATGCAGTCAGTTGCCAAACTACAGTATTCATACCCTTAAAGGGGAGCAGCAACATTTAGGAATCATTTTCTGAAATCCATAGGGAGCCAATGCAAAAAACACAAAATAGATGCTAATAGATGTTCAAATATTATAGGCCTTACAAACTCAAGAATCTGAATTCTGAACATGCATCAACATTTTAAGCACATTTGGATACACTAGACATACTGGTAGTTTAACTGCCTTCAGGTAAAATTGGCCCTGATGTGAGTGTCTGTCCTATGATGGACTGGCATCCTGTCCGGGGTGTATCCTGCCTTGTGCCCGTTGCTTGCCAGGATAGACTCTGGCTCCCCCACTTCACTGTACTGGATAAAAAATGGATGGGTGGATATGCCAGTATGCACTGCATTGCAATAATCCAGCTTGAATTTGTCCAAACAAGTTTTGTGTGTGCACCACTGAACTTCTAGATCCTGATTTCACGGGCACATTGCTGTTGCCGTTTCCCTCCTCCCATCTTTGCCCTCCTTGCTGTTTCTCCCCTTCTCTGCCTGTCCCACTCTGTCCACCCCTCTGTCCCTCTCTCTCAGGTACCTGAAGGAGTTTCGGACAGAGCAGTGCCCCCTGTTTGTGCAGCATAAGTGCTCTCAGCACCGGCCCTTCACCTGCTTCAACTGGCACTTTGTCAACCAGCGCCGGCGCCGGCCGGTGCGCCGCCGCGACGGCACCTTCAGCTACAGCCCCGACATCTACTGCACCAAGTACGAGGAGAGTTCGGGGACCTGCCCCGAGGGGGACGAGTAAGTCTCCGTGCGGCCGCGGGCTCAGATTCTCACGTTCTCTCGTGCATGAGGTCCTCATGTCGAGTTGAGTAACACGCCTGTGAGTTTTGTCTTTAGTGCTCCCGTCAGGAGGAGCCGTTAAACGTGTCTTAAGTGATCAGTGCAGCACAATCAGTTTCAAGCTGCTTAGCTCCTGGAGACACATTTTTTTAGAATCTGGATGCAGCAAATTTGCCTCCAGTCTTGGTGTTTCAGTGGGAGCGGACTTAGGAGTGGGTTCAACCATGCAGTATTTCTGTTCTTAAGTTTAGAATCATCAGTTGTTATCATCCCAGATGATGATTGGTGTAAATCCCAAAGAGGAAAGACTTAAGTGACCCTCACGCTTGGCTCAGAAATGCCACAAGTCAGCACTGTTCTCTGAAACTTGTGCTGCGTAGAAACATTCCCCCGTGCTAAATTGGTTGTTTATATAGCTGCAGAAGATTGCATGTTTGGAAAAATGTTTTTTTTTTATGAACTGAATATAGAAACTCATGTATTTAAAACAATAAACAGGATTGATGTTCCTGCTCTCTCTTGGGTCTTAGTTGCCCCTTCCTGCACCGCACAGCGGGCGACACGGAGAGGCGCTACCACCTGCGCTACTACAAGACCGGCACCTGCATCCACGAGACCGACGCCAAGGGTCACTGCAGCAAGAACGGCCCCCACTGTGCCTTCGCTCACGGGCCGCAGGACCTGCGCACTCCTGTCTATGATATTAGGTACAGCGTACAGCAGATCCAGCACTGCGTGCAGCTCTGAAACTTCCCTTCCAGATTCAGTGTCACACTGGACCCTTACTCTTTCCCACGTTCAGCACCCCCCTATAGCCGTAGACAAAAAGCCTTGTGTCGTGTGTGCACACCAGTATAAAACTTGTGTCCATGTAAAGTTTCGGCATCTCTTAACTGCCCCAAATAGGATTATAACATAAAAACACAGAAACTAAATTAGGATTGTAAATCGGAGGTTTTTAGCCTCAGATCTGGAGACCGCCAGTCCAACTGGTTTCATAGGTAACCATGATGTCAATAATTTCTTAACATGTAGAACAAATTTTGATCAATTAAACTTAAATGATGTAGAGATTATTTGAGTTGCAAATCTTAAAAAAAACATACCTTTCAGTCCTCAGGGACCAGAGTTTCTTTAAATTATAGTATCAGTGCTGTACGTAAAGACATTTAAATTGTCTGAAAGTTATGCAAAATTAAATAGCTAAAGCACAGAAGGGCTTATCTCTTGGCATCTCTTTTACGCAGAACCTCTCCAGCTTTTCCAGGTTGTGCTAGCTCTTTTTTATTATTCGTGTTTCCTTCAGAACACTTGAATTTAATTGGCAGCTGGGTGCACCTAGGAATAGTACCTGCTATCTTTATGGACTTACTGGGCTTTAGCGAGCACAAGCTGTCAAAATCTTGGTTAGCCATCGTGTCCACAATCACCTAGACTGCAGGGACTCTTGTGTTCAGAGTGCAGGTCGATTTAGGGACTAAAAAGTGAACACAGTACTTTAGACAGTGTGTTGAGGCATATTGCTGGAACTTATGCCCTTAGTAGCCCCCCAGAAAAGGCCATGTGAAGCTCTGGAACAGATGAGTAGGGCTGAATGACCTTCTGTCTCTGCTCTTTCCCATGCTGCTACTCGTTCTCTTGTTGTTCCCTCAGAGAGCTGCAAGCTATGGAGGCAGTGCAGAACGGGCAGGGCACCTCTGAAGGGGGCGGGGAGGGACAGCCTGGCATCGCTACCAGTTACGCCCTCATCGAGAAGATTCTGAGCGAAGAGCCTCGGTGGCAGGGTAAGACTGCTGCCAACTGGAGAAGTCGAGGAACCCAGAAGAGCTGCGCCTGGCACCTAAGTTCAGGCATAAAAACCATTATAGTCCGTCATGACCATCGTCTGATCTAGGTTATATTTCTGATCACTTCTTACTGTCAAAGCTACTAGATAAGAACTATCTTTGTGTCCATAATTGCCTCAAATTAGAAATCTAAACTGCAGAGAGTTTCGAAGCAGTGTTATAACAAAGGGGCAGACAGGTTGTCTTTCTCCACAGAGAACACCTACGTCCTCTCCCATTACAAGACGGAGCTGTGCAAGAAGCCCCCCCGCCTCTGTCGCCAAGGTTACGCCTGCCCCTACTACCACAACAGCAAGGACCGCCGCCGCAGCCCCCGCAAGCACAAGTACAGGTACTGCACAGGGGAGTCCTTTCAGAACTGTCTAGCCCTGTGTATCGCAAGATCTGCAGCCAGGCTACCAGACAGCCACAGTGTCTCCCGCTCCAGCTCCTGCTGAGCTCCTAATGACTGAATGGCAGTGTGTTTGTTAACTCATGTAGACTAATACAGTGTATTTAGCGTGCCTTTACTCACTCATTCATTTCCTGCTATCTCTCTTGTTAAACCTGCAGTACTGTGATTGTGTAAGACTGAGCTGGCAGACCCCAGGCCTGCACATAAGAAGGGTTTCTTGTGGAATAGACTGCTACACCCACTGGCTTCCCTGACTAAGAAGGATAAAAATCAAGCCATGAGTGCCTGCGGTGGTAATTGTGCTGGTGTCGTGGTGTGTTTCAGAGTGCTGAGAGAGCTCTTTGTTTTCTCCCAGGTCCTTGCCCTGCCCTTCTGTGAAGCACAGTGACGAGTGGGGCGACCCCAGCAAGTGCGAGAGCGGCGACGGCTGCCAGTACTGCCACACGCGCACCGAGCAGCAGTTCCACCCCGAGGTAACGGCATGCCATCTGGACAGGGGGCATCGCGGGAGGGAGGGCAGCCCCAGAGACACCCACAGCAGCTGTGGTTTCCCTCCTACTTCCTGTTTATTCATGTGGCTGGGGCCTTTGTCAGGGGTGACTTATCGGGGCTACCACTGTAGAAAATGCAAAACATTTACATACACGCATATGTGTGTGTTATATGTACTTACATGTCTTTGTGTTAAGTTGGGAGTCCTCTCTTTAGTCCAATCTGTTCGTCTGTCCCTAAAGATTCCTTTTGCGGTTGTGTAGTGCTTTTTATCCCAGAGGATCTCAAAATGCCTTACATGTCGGAGTGGAACCACTTCATCTACCACTGAAGTACAGTACCCACCAGCCCCATTATGCAGCCGATCAGGTGGAGAAGTGAGAGATTTTTCAAGGGGGAATTAAATGAAAACCAGGTTGCACAAACCCACATGGGAATTTAGGCAAGACACTGTGGTTAACGGCACTGCTCTTGCAGACAGTGTCATGGGGAATTTAATGACCAAGTAATATGGATCTCTTTTTCACATCACATCTGACCAACCTGGTTTTCCCATGCAGATGGGAACACAAGAACTCTCAGGGACGTGTATTGATATTGAAACTTGTTTTTTTTTTCAAAGTCGTTACATTAAACTAACTGAAGACAGATTCACATTTTCATGCAAGTGCCATTGGGTTTGGTATCTTCTTGCAACATAAAATTTTGTTTCGTAATGGAACAGCATGACAAATTAATATTACGTATTTATTCTGATCAGGTACTCCATCTTTGTAACATAATTAAACTACCGGCAACGTTGATAAAACACTCAGGTCACCATTTGTGAGAATGTTTTCTTTTGTATATTTTTGTAATGCAATTTTAAATGTTTTAGTGAATTCAGACAATCAAGTATTCTGACACAGGGCAGGTGCAGTGGTGATGATTATGACGTCCCAGCTGCAGTAGCACTGTCCTTGCCGAGGAGGGGATGACGGTCTTGTCTCTCCACAGATCTACAAGTCCACTAAGTGCAACGATATCCAGCAGTCTGGCAGCTGTCCTCGTGGGCCCTTCTGTGCCTTTGCCCATGTTGACCGTAGGTGGTTCTCTGCCCTCCTCTCCCACTGCCACATGTTACAGTTTGCAGAGTTGTAGCTCCATGAACTACCATCACTCTGGTTTCAGCTTGTCGCTGGGATACAGACCCGACTCCCGTAACGTAATGCTGGGCTCCACATTCCCGGGACTCGGGACCTTGTTTCCTCTGCAGTTCGTTGCATCTGAACTTCATGCTTTTAATCTGGCTTTTGAAAACCTTGATTGAGCTGTTCTCTATATTTAATTTTATATTCTTTTTCTGTTGTCCATGTTTTTAGAAACTCAGCTTTAATTATAATGTTTCCAAGATATTTGTCAGTCAGAACTGCTGCTGTTGCATAACTGTGTTGCTGTTGAGAACTGCTGTGCTGGTGTATCCCACAGAGCCTAGCTGCAGCGAGGAGGCCCAGCTGTCTTGCCCATCGCCCAGCTCCATGCCGGGCTCTGTGCCCCTCTTCCCCACTGGGGCAGTGGAGGAGTCAGGCCCGGGCAGTCCCAGCAGCGCCCACAGCACAGAACTCCACGCTGTAAGATCCGTCACTTTGTCATTGTGGTGTTCACACTGGCTGTTGGGGATAAGATGGCAGTGTCCTGAAGAGAACACATTCGCAGGCTGTTCATTGTGTGAATATAGTCTGAATCTAGTTCCACACAGCCTTTGGAAGACATTTGATAAAATTATAAATACTTAACATGTAAAAAGCTACTAGTCCACTTTCACACTTCAGACTCAGTACTTGTGCTTGTTTAGGAAAAGGGATGTCCTTGTTTTCTGCAGATACTGTTTCCTTTTGTCCACTGAATGTAATATAGAGATAGTTGTTTCAGATCTGATTTGAGACTGCTTTGATTGAATGAGAGGCATCTTGAAAAATGTGAAACGCGTGCCGTAGGGCCCGTGGAGATGAAAGCCTGTTGGATTTTTTTCTTTCAGGTCCTATCCAGTAGCTGTGGCACCATGAGCTCCTCTGTACTTTCTGCCTCAGAGCACAGTATGCTGGGAAGAGTGCTGTACCCGGAGTCTAGTAGCCTGGAGGCCCCTCTGTCCTGCTGGATGGGCAGCGGATATGGCAGAGCACCAGGGTTCGAGCGTGAAGACCAGGTCAGAAAAGACTGATGTGTAAAAAATGCTTGCAATCCCCAAACTTATTTATTATACTATTTATGCTTATTTATTTATGGCATTCCAGAGAACTGTTGCTCCAAGATAAACTGGCAGCATGCAGAAACATGAGTTTAGTAATTGACTACCTCAAGGAAGAAGTGAAAGGGATTTTATATACTAAGTGGCATTAATAACCAGTGTTATTACTTCTAGTACTCATTTGTTGAATTTGTTTAATGCCTCTTAGTATATTTATTACTAAATTACTAAGTGTAAAAAACACCTAGGATTTACCATGCAAAGCTGAAGAGCCTTGCAATTGAATTCTAGCTCTTTATATTTTAGCATTGCAGTATTGTTGTAAGCAGAGTCTACTATAGAAGATTTAAAGAGCATTAGATAAGAATTCCAAACTAGAAAAGTATCAAAACTACACAGGTAGTTATATGCCTTTCCTTAGTTTTTGAAATGTCCTCAGTCATCCGGGTTGCTCTGGCAGTGTCTCATGTGTTTCCCTGCAGGCAAAGCAGAAACCTCATTTGCTGGAACAGCGCAGCAGGGAGTCAATACAGGCACAAGGCAAACAGGTACTGATCACCCTCTCTCTCTTTTCCTGGTGTTCGCCTTCACCTACAGCTAAATTCATGCATTAGTCTTGAGTGAAACAGTTTCAAAGGCAGAATGATGCTGTTTCCTAGTTAGCTGTTCTAAGTACTGTAATATACCAAGTCGGTAGATTAAATTGTTGCTGTCTAGTGCATCCTGGTGTGGATTCATTCCCATCATTCAGTGTTCTTAGTCTTCAGCTAATTTACAGTAGTTGTGGTGAGTGGATCAAGTACACATGAACAGGAGCACTGTAAAAGCTGTAGAGATCTTACAGATCCTCAAGGCAGTTTAAAGCTGAACATTCAAGATCATTTTCCTAGACAACTCTGAACCCATCAAATATAAGACAGGAAAATGAGGAGAGTGATTTAATAATTGTCTCACAAGGCACCCCTGTCAGTGCAACAGAAACAACTTGGGTTGGCCAGTTTTAACTTGCTCTTCAAGAACTGAGCACTAAGAGCACCCTTTATGAGGTTTGGACAAACTGGCTCCAAACCAGAGATGTACTCTTACACTATTTGACAAAGGAAAATGTCATTTGTTGTTTTTCACTGGTTATTAAATTGGTTTCCAACAAATTGGCCTAACCATATTCCATGCTAGAAGACGGCAGTAGAATGTGGGATCAGTGTTTCAGATCAAAGCCTCCTCCTTTTTCTTTAAGCACAGCACAGCGCTGCCTTTCCACTGTAGTTGAAGTGGACAGCTGTGTTTGAACACAGCATGGTTCAATGTCAAGTATGAGAAAGAGCATACTGTAGTAATGTGTGTTGTCTCTCTCCCTACCCAGGACTTCATGGGGCTCCTCCCTGTGGGCAGCCCCCTCACTTCTAGTATCTCCTCCAGCATGACGTCCAGTCTGGCCACCACCCCGCCCAGCCCCGCTCCCCCAGGCATCTCCTCAGGCATGAACGCCAATGCCTTGCCCTTCTACCCCACCAGCGATACTGTGGAGTCGGTCGTGGGTGAGCAGCACGTTCTCGTGGGAGGAGCATGTTTGATAGGGTGGGCATGAACCCGACTACAGCAAGCTTGTCCTGGGGGCAGAGAGCAGGAGGAGAGGCAGGGTGTGGGGTGTCTGGTGTGGGTTTTGCAGTTTCCACTCCCCCAATTTTCCCTTCATCATCGCCATATTTCAGGTGTTACAGTGAGGTTTGTCACGCTGCTTCAAGCTTTCATTTCATTCTCAGATCCACTTGATCTAACTCCTACATACAGCTAGGCAGGCTTTACTTTAAAAGATTAAAACTAAACTAAGATGAGCAAAACAAAACTTTTTCCTTAAGAAGTTCCTGCATCATACTACCTTGCTAAGCTGTTGCAGACTGGTCTAATTTTATTCACCAACTGAACAAAAAGAAAGCCGTTTCATGCTTACCATGTGAAAGATTCACTCCTCATTTAGTGGATTGTGACTGAACTACACAAATAGAGGAGTGCAGACTTGGGTGGTCCTGTTCACCCAAAAGCTCACAATGGTAGACAGGTGAGGTGCAGGAGACTTTATTGCAGAGTTATTGTATTTGAAAGACTCCATAGAATCCCTTTCTTTCGATATGCATTAGCTCTATCAGTGTGCCTTGATTGCTTATTAAGCCAGCCATCACAACTCAGCCAGAATTAATACTGTGCTAGCCCTTTATAGAACGCAATTCACACAGTGCACAATTAATTATATCCTTGCCAAAATGTGGACATTAACCCTTCAGTTATTTAAAAATGATCGCACTGTGTGCCGAACTACAACTGTAAGAAGCCTTTTGGCGGCCTCTACTGTAATTCGGCTGCTATTACAGTACCTTAATAGACCTGCCTGCTACACTCAAATATTGTATTGCCATGCTTGTTCAGTTTGCTAACTAGCTGTAGTTAACTTTAAAACTGTAGTGTCCAGGTGTTGTTTTTTTATGTCACGCTTTGTAAAATAACTGAAATGTAGTTCTTATTTTATGATGATGCTCTGAACTGTTAAAGAGGATTTTGTAAAATTCCCCACGTGTTCTACTGTTTGTTTTATTCTCCCAACGTTTCTTGCTCTCCCATGAAGCTGCTTCTTTTGTAGGATACATCAATTGAGGTGGCAATAGATTTCAACATTTCATTAAAAGCTATGTGCGTCAGAGCCAAGGAAAGCTTCCTTATCAAGCAGACCCTTGTAACTTCATTAGGAAAATTGACCATAAATTCACAGAACACTTGGCAGTAAAAACTTGGAAAAACTGCTGATGTCTAAAAGGGTGTAAGGTATGCCCTCTTCCTGTTGCAGAGTCAGCTCTGGATGACCTGGACCTGAATGACTTTGGCATGGCGGCGCTGGAGAAGAGCCTGGACAGCGGTACTGCAGTGCCCAGCGCAGGCATCATGCTCGGTAAGGTTGCATCCTGGGGAATTTGTAATATTCATCTTCGCTCTGTGGCCGGCCTCCTAATAGGCGCTTATCAGTTTGTGAATCAGTTTTTCTTTCCAAATGTTTTTTATTAGACCCAATTTCAAAATATTTGTGTAAAGAAAGCCAGGCAAAATCTTATTTTATGATGATTTCTAAAGCTGTTAACTGTATCAGTTATTAAAAGAGTGTAGGATAATCTACTGTAGACATTGTTGTAAACTATATTCAGTATAATCGCTGCAGCCTTTTTTCTATCTTTTCCGATTCCTGAGTAACACATTCTGCCATTTCTGTCCTGCAGGAGGCAGCCTGCTGCAGAGCTCAGCGCCGGTCAACATACCGGGCTCCCTCAGCAGCTCTGCCTCTTTCCACTCCACCTCTCCATCACCACCAATGGGAGCGCTTTCTTCCCACTTCCTGTCTTCCCACCTCCCACAGCCAGGCCAATCGGAGAGCACCTTCCTGGGAGCGTCACACAGCTCTCTGGGTAAGTGTTCTGTTCAGATGCAGAGGTGTGATTGGATCGATTGGCCTGCACCCCACTGTGGTGAATTCCTGCCATCATTAAAGGGTAGTCGGGGAAAACAGGATGCTTACACACTTCCCTAGAAGACAATAACTTCAGGCTAATTCTGAACTGTTATGAAATAGTTTATTGACAAAATAATATTATTATACAAAATAATAAGATTTTTTAAACTTTTCCATTTAAAAGTGTAAAATGAATAAGAGGGTGTGCTAAGCAAACGTATTAAAATTGTGGGCTTTGGGGCAATAAAGTACATACAGAGTGACAGTAAAAATGCATTTATATAATGAGACATTACAAATTTAACAAATGGTATTGGTTCCAATTCCTAAGCATGCATCTGATATTGTTTTCACATGTGTCAGGAGCATTTCTGTCTAATTTGTTCTAAAAAAACATGCCAAACTGAGTCCTGGGAGGCATGGTGACATGGTTGTTAGCACTGACCCATTCACAGCTCATGCGTCCTGGGTTTTTATTTGCAGTTCCATGTGCTCCACATGGCCGTGTAGGTTTCCTTTTAATCCACTGATTTCTAAATTATTCTCTGTCTGCATTTGCACGTGTGTTTGGTCTGTGATGGCCTGACGTCCTATCCAGGGTTGGTCCTGTGGCTGTTGCCTGTCAGTCTGGGCTCCAGCTCACCATAAAGTGTATTGGTCTAAGTGGGTATTAAAAATGGATGGATAACTGAGACCAATTGATAACAACAGGATTCACTTAGGTGTGCTAACTTGGCCCAGTAGGATCAAGATTTGCGTTCATGATAATTTTCGTTTCTCTCTTGTGGATAGGACTGATGTTAACACTCCCTGCTGTTGTGCAAGTTCTGTGTTCTCTATGTTTTCAGTGATTTTATAAATGTAATTGCTCCACTGTGCTCAATTTCTCCATATAATGGTTTGAATAGGTGCACTAACTTTCTGAGGTCCATATTAATTCATTATAAGGGTCTTAAAATAGTTAAATTAATTCAGAGTGTCTGGATAATCCATGGACCGTTTTGAGGTGCCAAGAGGTGTTTTTTGATTTCCTGAACTTTGGTTGTAAAATATCCACACAGGCTATAAACTGCCTGATCCATTGACCTGAGGCCCTCATTAAGACATTTCTTGAAAAACAAGTGATATCAGCTTCAACTAAATATCTGGGTAGCCCATGCACCCAGTATGTAACAGTGTGCAACAACAGTCTTCTTTTTTGCGGGTTCAAATGCTTCTTAGTTTCCGTGTCTTCAGACCATGCTTTTTGAAGAAATGTGGTTCACATCTTTAACATTTTAGAAATATTTTTATGCAGGCACGGTGTACAGCATAAAAACAGGGTGTATAGTTTAATCTGATGGAATCCATTTTTTTATCATCATAAACATGAGAATAAATCTTTCAGAGAAACTGATTAAGGGAACTACTAACATTGTTGTGTCTCCTGGACAGTTCAGTTAGGATTATTTTGTTGACTGGCCTAGAGGTCCATTGCTTGTGTGAGTGAGAGGGGCCTGCTCTGGTTGTTGTCATCCCCACACTCGCAGTGAAGCAGCAACCCACTCAGGATGTCGCTCTCCCTGCAGGGCTGAATGGGATGAGCAGCAGTATCTGGGAGCACTTCCCACCAGGGCAGGGCTCGCCTGGCACCCCCCCAGCCTTGCTTTCGGGAGGGGGAGAGCTGGCCCGCCTGCGGCATGAGCTGGACGAGGCCCATGGTGCCCTCAAACAGTGGCAGGAATCATGGAGGCAGGCCACCCAGGTAGGCACCGACTTTCCAGTGTGGAAGTGTGGGCATGCTGCTTCACTTGAATCAAAGGGTATCTCCCCGAGTGCTGCATTCTTTTCAGTTCAGTTTCTTTTTGCCTTCTTCTGTCCTTCAGAAGGGAAGTCAGCTTTCAGACACACATGCTTCTGATGTGGCGTACCCTCCTGATGTGACTCACTACTGTTTTACAGTCTTCCTAGCGCAGGGTTATATAGTTCTGCATTGCTGAAGAGCTCCAATAAGTCTTCTTAAAAGAAGCTGCAAGAATGACATTTCTGTTTCAGCTGTTGGTGTGTTCACCATCTACCCTGTGTCTTTGTAACGGGCAAAAGTATTGCACATGCTTTTGGATAATAGATAAATGTGAATTTTCTTAAATTGCCTGCATTATTCCACTCCTTCCACTTTTCCCCAAACGTTTTTCTGCCACGCCCTTCCTCCTGGCCTTTCTGCCTGTTCCAACGTCTGCCTCTCTCTGGCCCCCACGTCCCTCTGTCCCTCTGTCCCTCTGTCCCTCTGTCCCTCTGTCCCTCTGTCCCTCTGTCCCTCTGTCCCTCTGCTTCAGGCGTGTGAGATGTGGAAGAGCGAGGTGGGGGAGGCTCGGGAAGCAGCCCTTCGACTGGGACGGGAGGGGGCCCTGGCGCAGGAGCAGAGGGAGGCTGCCGAGCGGCAGTCCCAGCAGCTGGAGGAGGAGCTGGGGCGGATAGCAGGTGGGCAAGAGCCCCTGGCGCTGCATGGCTACTCGGGACTCAACAGCCTGCCCCTGGCCGCGCTCTACAGCCTGCAGGCGCAGCTGCTCAGCGCTTTGGAACGAGTGGAGCAGGTAATGTCAGCCTGATTACTGCATTGCCATGTTCTGTACATTTTGCTGTGGTCATGTTGTATAGTATGCAGTAGCTGGCATCATTGGACAGTTCATGAGCTGTGTCATGTTATTCAGCAGCTCATTCAGTTGTTGTACTAGAACATACATGGATCATGAACCAACCTTTTTTAGGACACTGCATGCGCTATTCAGTACAGCACTGAGCTGGGATTACAACACTGGATTATTGTGGTGCCTCTGTCCTAGTGTGTATTTATATTTGCCTTGCAGGCTGTATTCCAGCAACAGAAGATGAAATGTCTGCGGTGCCAGGAGGGGGGACGGGTGACATTGCCGTGCCAGCATGGGGCATTGTGTGAGGCTTGCTCCTGCACTCAGGAATGCCCGGTGTGTGCCCCTCCCCGAACTCTGAGCCTGCAGTCCTGACTGCTCCTGCGACAGCCGGCTCCATGCCGGGCCGGAGCGTGACTGTCCTGTCATACTCCGGCCGGCGCAGATTCCAGCTGTGCATTGGCACATCCTGTCACAAGCAGCGGCCAGCATTCCCTTTCTCACTGCAGAACCAACAAACATTTTCATCTTTGTATTCTTTTTTCAGAATTTTTAATGGGTCTAAACGCAGACACATAATATCACCAGATTCATTGAAAGGAGATTGCATGAGAAGAATTGTGCTTTATCTCAAAATCATTAAATCTCAACATATCCACAGTATTGAACTGGTAGTAATCTGGATCCATTCGGTCAATTATTTTTCTGTGTAATGCATTGTTGCATTTTGTTATGTTTCATATTTTGTGAAAAGATCTGAGCATGAGAACAAGATTTCTAGATGAACTTGTTAAAAACTTTGTAAATATTTCTTTTCTGGTAACTTAAAGGTTTGAATTTATTGAAGTTCACACCTATGGAGATCAGTTGGTGTTCATCCTTTTGTCCATAGGGACATTTCTCATTGATTTGATCACTTTTACTGTTTTTTAGAATTACTTCTTTTTTTTTCTTCCTCCATCCTCAATACTGGAATCTACAGTTCTTGTTCAGATTCTTGTGGCTGCCTGAGTTTTGTTCTGCCTGAAGTGGTTAGGATAATTGAACCCTTTAATTGAACATTTTTTCTGGAAAAGGTGTGGGTGAATGAATCTTGTTCAAAGCACAGGCGTATTCCTGTATTCCAGCAAACATGTACACCGTTAGGCACATTCAAACCCACCTGCTTCAAGAAGACAGATAGCATATATTCCCCGTGTGACATTGCAACAGTGAAGCACTGAAAGGAGTTTAGGGAGCCCATCCAACAGCTGCAGCAACAGGGGTGCTGAAGCGAAGACTGACTGTAGTCCACCCAGACTTCTGAAGGTGTGGCAGATTTCTAACAAACATCTCTGAGGTCTCAGAGCAACGAGACTGCATTCCAGTCTGAGTTGTGGCCTTACAGAGTGAGGCAGACAGCAGGCTTCTCTCCTGTGTGGCTAAGAATAATTAGTTTTAGAAGGATCCCTTAGAAAATTGATATTGTTACCAGCTCCACTTAAAACCATTATGCTTGAATCATTTCATTCAGTAATGTTTCAGAGGTTCTCTTCTGGCACATGTTTCCTGACAGTGCAGCCCAGAGATGAAGTGACCGAGTGTTCAGTTCTCAGACAGATCATCTCCTTACATGTTTTTATGCTTACTTCGTATGGCAGATTTGCCTGTCTGGATTGTGAATGTGCCTGTATGTGAATGTCATTTTGTATACAGGTCTTTACAGGGAGATAAAATAGGGACATTTAAGCCCTATGTAAACACTTCAAGATCTAGAATTAAAAGAGCTGTAACTTTCAGTCCTAGTTATACTTGTGTGTATGTGTCCACCTTTGCTAGGATGAGTGTATGACTTGATTCGTCAGGACGTTTTGAAAAAGGATAGGATTTTAAATGTTCCTTAAACTGAAAAAAAATAAACTTAAAGTTTAATTAAAGTTAAAAATTACCCTTTACACATTCAATGAAATGAAAATTGGTGCTGAATTATTGCAGCAAAATTGTAACTGATTATTGACTTTTTTGTGCCATAGATAGGACAGAGTGAGCAGATCTGCAAAGTTAGAGATCTGTTTTGGAGGGGCATTATAAATTTGCTTTTTTTATAAAATGTATTTATAGTAAATAACCTTTTAACTGCAAAAAATAGTGAAACAAAATATACTTTGGGAATGGTTTTTATCATTAATTATCTGCTGGTAATTAAGCAATAGGGCTCATTTAAGAGGTATAAAGCTTAATATAAAACTTAATTTCAATTGAATAAGTCATTTTAAAATCCTGTCCTATCTCAGTATCCAAGTATCCATTTGAATCATACGGTCACACCCATATGGTTTGATGCTCATATGCAAAGCTGCACTGATTGGTAATTGTGAGTTTTCTGATAAGGGTGTAAGCAACTATGGAATTTGCACCTGGATGAATATGTAATGCAGAAGCACTAAATTAAAAAATGGCGAAGGAGGAAGGGACATTTGAAAACGTGCTTTTTGCTCTCAGGTCTTAATTTGCTGGTTCTAATTAAATGCAAAAGTGCATTTAATTAAAATAGTAATGGTCTTCTCATTAGACAGCCAACGTTTACACATCAATGTACAAGTTCTAGGACTGGCCTCAGCAGTTGATTATTTACAGCTCCACTTTGTAGACCAAATCCATATTTTTTCCTATGTAGCTCTAGGCCTAGGATTTTCACAACTTTATCCACCCCACAAATGACCAGTTTCTGTTACCCAATGCCTTCTGACTCCAGTATAACTGAAAGCTGCCATCTGGTGTGGGTAGTGGGATTTACAGGTAGGTTTAACTTGATTTAATCAGTCATAGGAGGATGCACTAAGCATGTAATCAGACATCTTTGTTCTTTATTGCAATCGTGCTGCAGTTTGCAAGATGGCTCGTCTTCTATTGAAAGACACAAATCAGAAAATCAGTAGGAAGTGCCCTTAACACTGTCTGGAGGAGACAAGATATTCCACTTGAATCTGGAAGAACCAGAGGCATTCTTTTCATTACTGAGCATGAGGTTATGTAGCTATGTATGAAATACTCTGCTTTACTTTATTTTAGCTAAACACTCTGTTGTTAAGAAGACCTATCAGTCTATGTCTATTTTTATTCCTCCCCAAACCTTTATACATGCTTATCTGTGATCTTTTTCTAATCTTTGTGTTTGTCCAGATGTTCATTAGACACACATATATTTCCTCTTTATGCAGGGAGTTTGAAAACTCTTTGCTGAGCAGTGCTAGAAACAAAATGGGCTCCAAGAGCAGAACTTGTTCAGAAATGCTTGGACTTTTTTGTAGAAGAAAATAAAATATATTTTTTGCTAATAAGCTTCTTCTGGGTTACGAGTGATGTTTGAATCCTTGTATTATCGAGTGATGAAACACCTTATGGTTTGCAGTCTAGCTAAATGAACCCTTGAACAGCCTGCTGGTGAATTGTTCTTTTTACAAAACTCTACATTTCTGCATTTTGATGTAAAGTAGAATTGCACATACTGACCCTATAAACCAGGGGCCAATGGATCAAAGTCTGTCCTCTGCTAGAGGTTTTACAGTCATGTTGTCTTATGAGATCCTCAGATCACTTTGCTACAAACACTTAAACTGCCAGGAAAAGGTTTCTGTATGCTTTTCACAAACCTACAAGAGATCTGTAGCTTGCAACAAACATTCCATGTATAGCACATCTTTGATGTATGTTGGACTGAAATGCAGTTTTGGATCTTTCCAAATGAATGTGGAGATAGTTTTGTTTACTGCCATTTGACCCCAATCCTAGACATTAAATTGGACTTCCAGATACAGTCAAATAAACCTTCTTTTGTACAATCTGGAAATATAATTAACACTTCACTTAATCAGGCACAATATTGTAATTGTTTCTGATTAAGTAAAGTTTTAATCATATTTCCAGGCTGTACAATAGAAAGTTCACCAACTATCTTTTCAAATAGATTAGGGAACATACTGTATATGTAATTCATTCACACTTTTTTCAAAACTCACACCTGAGACCGGGGGGGTCCTACTTTAAGAGTGAACAACCATTTTTTTTTATTTGCAAATTTGAAAATAAACACAACCCTACCAATTACTAGAAATATTACTGTCTCAGCTTCTCAGACATGATGCCTGACTTCAAATGTAGTTTATCTGTCATTGCTTTTATTTACATGTTACAGTAGGCTCTGCTACTTAAACCAATTTACAGCTTTTACAATTGTATCCCCTCAAGACCCTGCTGCAGTGAAGAGATATTGCCAATGCTTGTGTATTTCTAACAGAACTCTAGTGAGCACAGAAAATCCAAGCCTTACGAACGAAACATGTCTGTAGTGCTGCGGTGCAAACATTTTCTTGGTGGGACACCTTTGAGACCTCACCTTAGCAACCTTTTCACACAAGAAATAATGACATCCAAGAATTAGATGCCTTTGTGAATTTTTAATTTGGTTATTTAGTTGTTGAGATTTTTGGTTCAAGCTGCTTAGCTAAGGGTCAGCCCCCTGACCAAAGGACAAATAGGCTGTTCAGGGGAACTCCAAAAGTGGAGATCAGTTGGAGGAGGAATATGAAAAATAAGATTTACTTAATATATATATATAGCCTCAGGAAATTACGCTAGGAAAGATTATTATTTACAACAGCAGGCATGAAAGAGACCTGGTTGTCGTCATTCCTTCTGAACTTCAGTTAAAATATCATAGCTTGTGTAGAGCAGTAATTTATTGTGGAGATACATCATCCTGATTTTTGTTATCAATGCATTTCATTACCAGTTAAAAATGGGGTTGGGATCCACTGTGTGAGGCATATAATTATTTAAAATTCAACAATAAACTCCAAAGATAATCTTTAGAGGTGTAAGAGATCTTGTGTTCTTGTGTACAATGCGGAGGAATAAATGAACAAGACTTCTCCGTACTTCAGCAGACATGTACAGTATCCATGAGTCTTGGTGGGTGGCTCACTTGCATGGCTGTAACACTTCTGAGAAAACAAATACTTCACTGCATGAACAAATATACAGTAGCAACTGTATTACAACTGAGAAAATAATAAGTGAAGGATGATCTTCAGCTATTTTCATAAATCTAGCCTTTGTCTTAAAAAGTTGTTTAGTTCAGAAAATATACCCAGAATTATAATCTCAGCTGCATACTATCCCACTCCTATGCTATGAGGTCACGTATGATATTTGTGTACTCTTGTCCTGTAGCAACCTGGAGATCAGAGTATCATTACTTACCCACAGTGTGGCAGTATTAATGAAAAAAATTAATTGGATTTTTCACTTGACATGTAATCTTCCTTATGCCCTTTTGCACAACTAAATTTGTCTTGTCATGCTCTTTTGGTCTGACTTTCAGAAAACCTGAGATTTTTGTGAGGACAGAACAAACAGTGCCTTGGGCTTTTGATGGAAAACACAAAAATAAGGATCTTGCGGCCATACAAAGTAAAGAATGTAGCAGCAGCCGCATAATGGGATATTATGCAGTTGAGATTAAATGGAAATCACTGCTTTAGGCTACCCTTACAGCACACACCCTGCCACTTAACAAAGCAGAAATTTGATTAACACAGGAAAAAAAACATTTAAAGAATCATTATTAATAATTTCTCAGTACATTTTTGTTTGAAGTGGAAGGTGTACAGGATTCAATTTGCCTGACTGATTTATTAGGTCAACCTGTGGGGGTTCTGGTTCTTTGGTTGAAAACTGCTAGGAGTTGTTGTAGTACAAGAGACTTTCAGAAGCACCATCTGTGGAGCTGAAACTTGCAAGGATTTCCAAGTACAACCACTGCAACAGGAATGGAGAGAACATGCTGATATATACTTCATCCCTGCAGATCGAGTCCTCTTGGAAATCTCTGACATCGATGATTGCTTTGATAGTAAGTTGCTCCTCTGTTTTGGCTGAATTGGGAACCTGGGTACTGCTGCAGACGTAGAGGATCACTGAAGGTAGCATAGCTAGAGAAGAGATTTTGTACAGGGTTTGAACTGGACGACTTTCACTACAGGCATTGTTATATTTTTCAAAATCAGACAACAGTATACAATGCTTTACCTAGTTGAGGGAAATGTGTTTTTTGGAAAGATCTTTTGTTATTGAGAGTCTTGTATGTGGAGGGCAGGTCAGGGTGGTAGTCAAGTGAAAAGAGTAACAGGTTTTTTTTAGCAAAGGTTTTTTAACAGGACGAGCAGAAATCCATCTTACCTTTAGGTAGTTATAACATAGGAATCTACTCTTTGATGATTATTCCAACCACATGTTCTGGAATTATCCATAGTTTCAAGGTACTTTTTGGCCTATTAGTGTTTCTTACATGGTACAGGCATATTGTACATAAAGGCAACTGATATAGTCTCAGGACCAGGGTGTTATAGTCCATGGTCCTCAGTAAAATGTTTTACCACTATAATATTAGAGTGTGCCATATATTGAAGAAACCTCACTATTTTTTTTCATAGGATTTTCATTGCAATGGGAAGAGTTGACTTTGTGTCCCTGCAAGTTTTGATCAATGTCCCTGAGCACACCCAATCCGAGAACCATACTGGCAATTGGCTTCTGACAGCACTCAAGGCATCATCAATTTGATATAATTAATTTTCATAATGAAATAGGAAGGTTCTGTTTTAAGTTTGTGTTTTGCAACTGAAATTGAACATTGCTTAGTTGTAAACTAGCAAGTATCAAACAGTATGGGGGAGCATTTACAATATATCTTAGGAATGGAACTGTGCACAGCTGGTGCAGCCCAGACAGGATAAATGAGTTAGTATAGAGAAGGTTTGGTTGTGACAGGCATCAGAGTAAGGGCTTGGGTAAAACAATCTGGGTTATTAGATATGATAAAGCCTTTGATTTAAAAGAATTACAGCGTGACGGGAATGTAACACAAGGGAAATAATTAGAACAGGCAAGTAACTATCAATAAGACTCCTCTTCTGTAGATTCCCTAAGCCTACAGCAATATCTCTTCCAAACAAACCATGGGTCACTGCAGCACCAGGGTATCAGTCCTCTCAGAATCAGTGTTCTGTAATCCATCAGGTCAAATGGTGGAGAGTTGGGCCCAGGCCCTAATAAAGTGGTCAGGGAGTGAAAATGCAAAGTGTCCATTTTCAAGGGTCCAGTTCATTCAGTTGAATGTCTTGAAAATTACAGTGAAAAGAAAAAAAAAGTGGCATGAAATAGTATTCAGTTGCTAAGTAATTGCATATTGAATTAAATTCCAGACATAAAGACATGTTCCATTTAATGACTAACAAAGGACAAGATTCATAGGATGACAACATTAACAATTTTAAATAGCTCTTACAATTTTGTCTGTGGAAATGGACTGAATTAGAGCTCGGATCTAGGCCTACAGTATGTGAAGGTCTATAAAGTAATGAAAAAAACTGGCTTACGGAATACGTGTCATTTCATGTGGTTTCTGTCTCCTTAGTGAAAACATAATTAATTTTGTTGAAATGGCAATTAAAAGTAGTAATTTGCCATTTATCCTAAATTAGTAGTGGTAGATGAATTGAAGGCTAATTAATGTCACACCCGCCGAAAACACAGCCACCCCAGAAAAAAAGACAACAGATCTGGTGTTGTCATGGGGTCTGTTCCTCCAGCAGCTCCTCACCTCTGCTCACACCTCCTTGGATTTCTTTTCTCTTTGCTTCCGTAGCTTCACGAAGGCCTGGGCATCTCGCTCTGACTTCCTCACCTCGAGCAGGCGCAGGATCTTGTCTACTTTGGATCCGGAGAAATGAAACAGGAACACAGTAAAAAATGTGACGATGGCAGTAAGGGAAAAACAAGAGGTAAAAGTACTTGGTCTATCTGTTGCCAAAGGCATGTTATTAGTGAATCAGAAATCTTAATGTCTTAAAAATGTCTTTTTTGTCTTCACACATCTAGTGGTGGTGGAAAATTCCTCTTTCGTGGTCATTGCTAGGTTGTTGAGTGTAGGAGTTTAGAAGCTGAGCTGGAGACAATCAGTTTCAATAGAGCACTTGAAAGGGCAGGTAAAGTACTGCTCTGTGTTACTAGAATAATAACATCAACAACTTAAAACAATTTGTGAAAACAGATGCAGTCATAAGATAATGATTTAAAAAACAAAATTAAGCCTTGCAGTGAGCTAGCATTCAGGATTGTTTCCTAACCACAGTGGGTTCATTGAGATCAACACTCAATCAGGATGAAGTCTAGCTTGACTTATACATTACACTGTAGAGCTCAGTAGGTTTGGGAACCTTGAAATCTGCTTTTGGGTGGTGCTGTTAATATGCTGAGCCAGCTGTCTGGGTAGGTTGAAAAGTGGAATGCTCTGTAGCCCTAAGAGTAGGAACAAGACCACTGGGAAATGCTGGGACAAGGTACCATTTGGTTTGGGGTGCATGAGCGGTAGTCGGATCTGAGGGGTGCCTGGCTGGTCCTGGGCACTCCCTATACCCGGAATCGCCCGTAGTGACAGGAAAGCCTCTCCCTCAAAGTCATCAGCACGCAGGGTGTCGTGGTCCAGGACAGTGATTACAAGGCAAGCCCCTGCGGTGTGGCACTGCTCCACAGACACCAGGCTGGCACACAGAGAGAGAAGTGAGGAAGGAGGGTCATTAATCTAGCACCAGTTAAAAAACTAGAAATGCACCTGAGATCAGGCTGGTCTAATGGTAATCTTTTCTTTAATACAATCATTTCTAAATTTTCTGGTCAGTCCAGCACTTCTGGTGGAGCTTCATTGTCCCATGCATTAAAGTTTTTTTTAGAACAGTTCTCCAGCACTCTTAATGAACACATTGTACCCAACACTTTCATTGTCATTATCATTAACTTCTCTGCTGGTGTGTGTTTGTGTTTCAGGGCTTCAGACAAACATTTCCAAATTATCTTGGATGAGAGCTCATACATATTGCTTAATGGTTTAATTCAGGAAATCAAGTTAAAGAAGAGATTAATGCACAAACTTGACATGGTTTTGCCACAGTAACTCAGCACCATTCACACCCTTATGCAAAAGTATTTTTTCTACAGTCATCATATTGTTAATTAAATTAACACTCTTCATGCTATCACCATTCTTCTGTTCAACATAATTTATCTTAGAATTAATCACGTCATAAGGAAATGGTCCATATTTCACATGGGCAAAATCTAAATTAATTAGATTAATTAGATCTCATGGTCCAAGAAACAGAGCACACTCAGATATGTTCTTGTCTGTTTGATCAGGATTGGAACTGACTGTAAGAAGCTTCACCATTAATGATATCTGATTTTCCCGCTTTCCAAACCACTTATATTATGGTCCAGGTCCCTCTACACCTTGAATTCAGCATTGACTATTTGTAATAATAGTTTTCACCAATGATACAAAAAGCAATGTGGTCTCAAAAAATGAAAAAAGGCTTATTTTACAACATGTTGAAATAGAAATGGGACTCGTACAATTCAAATGCCTCCTCGAAGAGCGGGTTGAGGTCACTCTTCTTGATCTTTGTACTCCTGGCCTCCACTTCTGGAAAGAGGTGCCGGGGTTCAAGGGACAGATGTACGAATGGGTCACTGGAGCCTGTCATTGGGAGGAAGGGACAATGTTTACGATTATTTGTTTGTCTGACGCACTTATCCAGAGCGATATACTTTAATACCCATCTACAGCACTTCTGAACATCTAAGTGAAACAATGTGCCGAAGAGCATATCAGGAGGGTCTCACCTGGAATTTGAAACCACAACCTTCCAGTTATAAAAGTCCAGAGTCCTAACAGCTACTCCTCACTCCTGCCTTAACCCATCCTGAAAATGGTCATACCATTGGAATCAAGGGGGATAAGGTTGACGGCGTTGAGGACCTCGATGTGAAGTCTCTGGTCTGATTTCTTGTAGGATCCTATCAGCGTCACAGCTCCATACTTCTCATTGGTGTAACTCTTCTGCAAAGAATCAGGAGAACATGTGTCATCCCACCCTGTGCTCCGCCTGTTAAATCTCAAGGCTTACTTGTGAAACGTGTAACAAGTTTGTAATATCAAATGCATGTAATGATGGATTCTCCTAGATACTCAGTTTAGCGGGGCTGACGTTTCAGAGAAGGGAGACTCTTCCTCCCTGGACTGTTACACTAGGTGGTCTGTCTTGGAAGGATAACTGTGTCACTGGGATGAACCCTCAGATGTTGAATCAGGTGAATTAGGTGTATGCTTACACCTTCAAAAGTGCTCTGCAACTGTATATACCCTGCACTACATTCTTCATCAAAAACACTTGCATAAAACTGTATACAGGAGCATAATTAGTACACTCATTTGCTGCGTTAGATACTTTGAGACCATAAGCCTGTACGATGAGCTGCGGACTAAGCTGTATTTTCACAGAGTAAATGAAATCACTCACCTGCTCCCAGACCTTCTGCTCCAAGAATTTCTCTATGAGCTGTTGGGTACTTAAAGAGTGTAATGTAAGATGAGCCTTCAGTTCCTGAAGTAGAGAAAAAAGGTTGGTGAAATCCCACCACAGAATAGTTACCACCTGAGGCAGATGTACATCACAGATTTAGGAGTATGGCCCGCTAGAAAATGATACACTAGAATAGAACGGGGCTCACTGGAGACCACTCAGCCACAATCTACAGTAAATTGTTAATTCATCTCTTACAACCCATTTTTAGGAAATGGTCCAGTGGGTTATTTACCGCTGGGATTTTTCTCCTTCCTAATACATCACACATTCAGGGGCAAAGTGCAGAGTACAGTTCCAAACACTTAACTAGAAGGACATGGGTTGGAGTTCCTGCTACAGAGGCTGCTATTGCAGTCATGAGATATTTTACACTAAGATTGTTCCAGTTCATCCAGGTCATCAGATAAATGTGTACCAGTGGTCCTGGATATAACCTTTAGATGGAGGAAAGGAAAAATGCATATTGTCTGCTTAATGCAACTGTAATGTGGATAAACACGGGCCAGATATACCTCAAGTAGAGAGTGAATATTCTGGTGCTCAGACAGGTATGTCTGTGCAGGAACCTTACCTTGTATTCTGCAGTATGCAGGGTTTCAAGATGCAGGCCGTTTCCTTCTGCATGGAAGCACTGCTCCAAGCACTGAAACACAGGCAAGCCAGTCACACATAGGCTGGAGCTCCTCAAATCAACACATCATAGCATATTTGTACAGCAGAAACCTGATGGTTTGTACAATTCAATTGAAAATACTTTATTCATGCCCAAGAGGGGTAATTTAAGAAGCAAGCTATACAACATACAAAACATAAAAAATGAAACAATATTAATAAGAAATATATATATAGTAAAAAGAAATGGACTACAAAAAGGATTATGAACGTAACAGTGTGAAATATTTAAGAAGGTATTAAAGAAAATGCACAGTCTATCCAATAGACATTGTAGTGATGAAGCTTATTTACATTAATTATTGCAAGCCTGGTGGCCTCTGGAACAATATTTTTTCTTTCTATTTGTCTTGCACTTTGGACAGTGAAAACATTTTCCTGAGGGCAAAAGGTTAAAAGACTGATGAAGGAAGTTCGATGGGTCTTCAGCGATGGCATAGACCTTCCTCAGGGTCTGCTGGGCATACAGCTGTGCTGAGTCTTAAAGACTCACCAATGATTTAGGTGCTGAGGCTTACAACATTGTGAAGTTTTTTTTTGTCTTTATACTGAATTAAGTCAACCAAAAGATAAATAAAATTATACTTTCAGTAAAAATATAAACATTGATAGAATAACTTTTGTACTCCAAAGGAAGTCCTTTCAGTAAACATACATGTAGGTTTATCATTAAACACAGTGCCCAGATATTAATACAAGGCAAACTACACCATGTAAGCCCCAGATATAGAGTATTTAGGATACAACTGAATGGTTCATTAACTGAATTTAATCTCATAAAAGACCAATCACACAACAAAATATTTCTGAAGCATTTGTTGTTGGTTTTGACATAAAGAAGCAGTCACTAAATTGGTAAGTGCAGTAACAAACTATTTACTGGTTCACGTCTTAGCCATCTTGAAACCTAATCTCGTGAAATATCAGGAGTAACCTTACTTCTGGTTAGTAACTGATACGAGAGTTAGTACCAATATGGGTCTCCCTCCCACTGGCAGTTTAACCATGATTTTCAGTCAGAGTATTTAGCTAGGAGCTCCTGTGTGGCTCACTATGTCCTGGAACTTAGACAGAGTGCAGTCTGAGCCTCCGGGCAATAATGCAACCTGACCGTGACTGGGATTTTCCTATCTGCAACAGTGCACGATTGACCAAGCCTACTCAGCTCTGAGGTGTGTTTGTGATCCCTGTGGCAGGGACAGGTGCTTGTGAGCGTGAACTGTTTTCGGTGAGAGCTGCATGAGCCCTCTGCTCTATGCCTGGTCTTCTTCTACTCTACTCTGCACATTGCTTTTCATCTTGCAGTGATGAGGGTCCCAGTGGGAGTTGTACAGTAATTAGCCAGTAGACCCAAATAATTGCCATGTCCAGAAGAGCAAAAGAAAGGTCACAAATGACAAGAAACCTAAAATAATAATTCAGTCCATTAACTCACTTGGTTACTAGTAGCTAAGTAATATTAATGACCTCTTCCAGATGAATCTTTAAATAATCTAGTGTGTCAGCTATTAATTCTGAACATATATACATATATTCCAATTTCAGTTTTGCCAATGATTGTATCCACGGCTACTTCAATTAAAAAATACAACTGAATTATAACAATGGGATGAGCAATTAATAAGTTACACAGTCCAAACAAAGTAAACAGTCCCAAAACCCACGAAACACAGTATTAATCTAGTGCAGTACAGTCACAGCATGAAATTGAATTTGTAGCCCATCTCATGAAATGCAGTGTTTACCTGCAGAGTATAATGTAGACGCTGGTAGAACTCCATCACACTATTCTGCTGCTGAGACACTTTGTCAATGATCTTGACAGAGTTGGCCCACAGAGGAGCCAGGAGGCTGCAGGGGAGAGGACAGTGAGCAGGAGTAGGTGGAAAGATTAATTGGTTCTGTAAGCATGGATTAATTTCCTCACTCCCAAAACTGATTTACATAGCCTACACCTGAGACAGCAGAGGCTAATGTCTATGTATTCTGGCAATACTCAAAGCAGAGGCACAACACAAGTGGAGTTAATGCTTTGCATTAACACATTTTCATGACTGCATCAGAAATTCTGGTCTGTGGGGTCACTACACATTCATGACACAGAATCCATATGAATAGATCCCAGTAAGACAGTTTGTTTGAAATAACCTTTTTAAACATTAGCAATGAAGAATATGGATTTTGGATACTGGTCTAAAATAAACAAGTCTTTCTTTCAGACTTGCGGTTGTCTATTAAGTTACTTTTGAGTATTTTCTGTCTGATTCTGATGTGCTGTTTGCTCATCGCCCATGTGTTTAATCACAAGAATGAGCTTGTGAAAATATTCCAAGTTCTCTTTGGTGTTGCATCATTTCAAAAAGCCCCATTGAAGGAGCACAAGGTTCTACTACTCATTTCCTCTTATTCAGGCTTTTAGTCTGTAGGAGAATAACATTTCATAAAAAGCAAGGCAGATAACATGAAAGAGCAAAGAATACAAGCCAATGTTTACCAAACCTAAACCTTCCTTCAGAGTCATATGGATTTAGATACTAACGCGTCCTCATGCGTTAACCTTTACCTCATGGTGTAAGCCATAAATTACATGCATATATTAAATGGATTATAAAGTCATATTAATTTCAAAGTGCACAATTAGGTGCTGGATGGATCAGAAGCTTATACTCTTGTGGAGAAGGGCAAGGATTCTTATGAGCCCTACACTGGGTAAAGTCCATATAAAATCATGCAATATTCACAAGCTGTTCAATTTTAATGAATTGCTGATGAATCTTAATACAGCATGTTCAAAGTAGCCAGTACAAGCAGCTGTGTGATACTTCAGTGTGTCTCCTGTACCTATTGAAGTTCTCCTGCACCAGGTTCTCATTCATGTAATGCAGCTCTTTCTCCAGATACCTCATCAGGGGCACAACAGCCTGTGGGACACAGAACAAGAGAGTCACTCCCAGCCTTCCTGCTATAGTTGGTAAATCAGGAAAACAGTCACTGTTTTACAATTGAGAAGCAGGACACACTGTTAACGTTCAGTGGCCTACTCTATGAGGCCCGACATTTAAGCAACAACACAAGTGGATCTAAAAAAATATATAGAAGAGCAAGCAGATTAATGATGATCTGAAAGTTCCATAAAACACACAATAAAGGAACTGAAATTGTTTTGAACAGATGAGTTTTCATAGTGAATTAAGATGTTTTGAACAAAGAAGTGAACTGCAGAGAACTGGTTCAAGATCAGAAATGAAATCAGAGGTGAAAACAGAATGTTTTCTGTTTATGTAATGCTATAAAAAGGCCTTACATCTTCTGTGCTTGATGAATATCTGCGATGGGCAGCCATGTTGAGGATATGTTTCTCAATGTCTGCACGGAGCTGAAAGAGAGAGGCATGTGGGGGGCAAATAATGGGTGAGAAATCACAGAGGACCCTGTTTTTACTGATACACAAAGAATGGCGATAAAACAAATTGTATTGCATTCACAATACATGACTGGTCACAATCCACACAACCCACAGTCACAGGTTTGTGACCCACCCAGCAGTTTACATTAAAATATATGCTGCCTTAAAATACATATAAAAAGGTATCTATTTTTATTTTACAGGAAAAAGGGAGAGGTCTGATGATATTAGATTTATTGGTTGAAATACTTTTTTTACTGTATCATTTTCACCATGAAGTACCTATCTGTATATTTCTACTTGCAATCTGCACAGATCTTTCATGTGGGCAAGGTGTATGCAAGACCTTTCATGCAAGTCTATCTATAATGCAGGCTGCTATAGGTTTTTTAAGTTTTTTTTTTAGGTTTTTTGGACCCTCAGCTGTGAACTCAAGTGGGTGTGGCACCTGCTGCCCCAGCGTCTCCACGGCGGTGCGGATCTGCTTGCCCAGCACGCCCTGCGCGTGCTGCAGCTGGGAGGGCAGCGTGTTGTGGAACTGCTCCTCCCTGATCACGTGCTTCGTGGTCTCCCGCAGCCCGGCCCAGTTCAGCTGCTCGGGAAGCCTGTTCAGGATGGTCCTCAGGTGCTCCATGTTGTTGACCACCACACAGAGCTGCACAAAGGAGGAAGACAGAAAGAGCATGGATTCCACAGATCAGATCGGTGCCATGTTTTTCAACACAAACAACGTAGTAATGTGTTTTACATCTCAACATCTGAAATATTCTTGCAGCCTAGCGAATCTAATTTAGTAGTATATAGTCTAATTGTCAACACTCTAGTCAGTAGGAAATCTTAGCTATTTCAGTGGGTGATGCGACAGAACCCTAATCAGAAACAACAATTGTTAAGAAAAAAGACTGAGGACCACAATTCAAGTTTATCTTATCAGAATGTTTAAAAACTATACTTGAAAACTGCACCCCCACAATCTTCCATGCAGCATGTTACAGCACAAAGGATAATCAATCATTTTTAGATTACACAGATTAACTGCCAATTGAATGTGAGATGCTGATACTATTCTATTGAGCATGGCCCTTTGGAAAAGAAATTCCAATGAGATTACCCCTTTCAACATACTAACACTTCTTTTTAACCACTTTGAAAACTGTATTCAATGCATATCTACATACAGTATGTCCAAAATACAGCCAGCTAGAGTTTAACAGACCACCCCACTTGTTGCAGGCTATCTATGCACAACTGGATAAAAGTTATGAACAGCAGTAAGGCCACAGCTGCCATTAACAGCCTGTCTACGCACAGCCAGTCAATACAGTTACGTCTGTAAAAGAAGGATTAAGGGGAAAACAGGGGACACTGGAGCCTTAGGCTGCCTCATACCTTGTTCACCGCATGGCTATGGTCTGACTTGTCAGAGAGCTCCTCAGCCCGTTGCTTGACCATCCTACAATATGTCAGTGCAATCTTGCATATGTCCTGGAATTAGAAACACAGACACATGGCACCCAGCTGTCAGCCCACAAAAAGCTCACACAGATGAGTGTCTGCCACATTCAAAATTACAAAACTAATTTATACATGATTCATTTCCTTATCGCTCTTTTAAAATTATTTGGAATTCACGATGTAGTTTTAACCTTTACAGTATTACAATAGCATTCACAATAAATTAGCATATTCTCATATAAAAGAGAATTTAGCTTGATAATTAAATGTACTCCTATCTTTCTTAAAACCATGAAAAAAACAGAGGTCAAAAACTGCCAGAGGACAACCTAGGAAATACAGTTTTTTGTGTGCTTAAATAGTTTTAGCCACTCTTGCGTTCCACATTTCTAGTATAGGGGGACCTTGAGCACTAGTTTTTAGTTTATCTCTGGTCTTATTTTACAGATTAACCTTTTATTTAGGATTGTTGAGGAAATATCTGAGAAAGAAACGTCTGCGTAAGGTTCCTTATTTTGATCATCTGACTGCCAGTTACCTCAGTCAGTTTAACCATCAGCATGAAGGCTTCTTCAGGATCTGGCCAGCTCAGATCATTCCACATCTGACTGATGGGTTGAAGACAGGCGGCCAAGTCCACTGCTGAGGAACTGTGTTTGATGGGGACAGAGCCATCCAGTAGGGGTTGGAGCTATAAGAGACAAATCAGCAAAACCCGCACTCAGAAAGCCACATAAAGCATTGCAGTCACAGAGCAATTATCCGTCACACAATGCAGACCAGTTTGTGTTTTGGTAAAAAAGAAAGACATCAAGCTCAAGTCTGACACACTCCATGGCTTCATTAAGAGTGATAAGAGAGAAAGGAGCATGGAGTATACCAGTCTGAGGTTGTCAGTGAAGGGGAGAGTTGTCAGGTTATCAGAGAAGGGTGGAGTTGGAGGTGAGAGGGTACCTGATCCACCTGTACTGCCCTCTGCACTCTCTCCAGTGTGGTGTTGTAGGCCTTGTTGAGCCAGTGAGGCAGTGCATCCCGGAACCTCACATGGAATTCTGTCAGAGCCAGCAGCTTCCCTCTGCAACAAAGTCAGATACACGTCTTACTTTATTCCAGATTTTACTTCAATTTTCCTTGCTTTATTTCTCCCCTTGATTGCTTTTCTTTTTCTTCCTTGTCCCTGTTTGTCTGCCAGACTGAATGTGTTATTTTCAAGAGTGGATAAGGATGAAGGTAAACACCATTTACAGGGAGCTCCAGCTCCAGGTTGACAAACCTCTTCTGCAGAAAGGCCTTCTCTTTGTGGATGGCCTTGAGGCTCAGGTAGAGGGGGTACAGTGTGTTGGCGAGCTGCTGGTCGATTTGACTTCCCAGACTGCTTAGCGTGTAATCGATCTCTGCTGCAATCTGCTCGTACAGAGGCACAAATATCATCATCAGGGCTTCATTTAAGTGCACTTTTCACAGAGGGCTCTTGTTTTGAAAAATAAATGACCTGATTTTAAAACACAAAAGTAAACACAGATAAACCACGTTTAACCTGACCCTTAGGGTCTGGGACCTATAGCATGGGATGTTTAACTTAAAGGCATTTGTAAAATAAAGTCAAAAGAGAAAAAAAAAACACTTCTACTTACCAAGGTGTCCTGTTCTACATAGATCACTGTAAAGACATCAAGTTGAACTGCGCTGTGAAAAGTGCAAGAGATTGTTTACAAGCTGATGAGTTTTCATATTTATAAAATCTAATGTCTAGTGTACTCACTTTACTTTTGTTAGCTTTTTTTTTTGTTAGCAACAGAGTCATGTTCTGCAGGCTGCTGTCTGTCTGACATCACTCCCAGCTACTGTCACTGCTGTACAAATTACAGGTACTTCCACATAATTGTGTTTTGCATTGTGCTGCTCTTTTTTAACCTTTAAATGAACTATCTGCTGTTGTGAAATTAATGCCATTGGGGAAATAAGACTTTCAGATATGTTTTTTTGAACTGACATGTTGGCTACAGGAAACTACAGAAGCAGCAAGGCATTCTCATGCACTTGCACAGATCAGATCATTTGTGTGATGACAAAATTCTGGCCATTGAAGCACCAGAACTGAAAGAAAACACATAAATAATGGACTTAAATAGGTCTTAAAAGCCTAACCATTAGGTAAATTCCAAAGGCCATATCAATAAAACACAGTTCACCAGCATGAACTTGATATTGTTTTTGATTGGACTAAATTATCATAATGGTGCTGACAAAGCTTTTTGGTTTGTCTTATTCAACTTACATTTAAGTTTTGTTTTTAATTATTATAATAATTTTGTAATAGTACATGCATTGACCTGCGGTGCTTAAAATACATCTCACTTTTAGCTATATACATCTCATTTGCAATACCAATGATTTTTCTTAATTATGAATAACAGAAAAGTGATAACTCTTCTCCACTTGCCAGTGACACAGTCATACCAATTTACATTACATGTGTAATTCTTTTTTATGTATTCGCTATTGTATTTGAGTGTAAAGTTCGGCATCCCTTGTAATTTAGTGATAAATTAAGCAAGACATTTATCTGAGTTGTTTATAAAGTAGTGTGTATGACGGAAACAACTCTGATCTTTGGGGGGCGAATGTCTTCAAATTTGTATTTTGAATGGTTTGTAAGTAATTTTTTTTTAACAAGTCATCAGATTCATTGATCGAAAATAAATTGCTTCATGTCTTTTGAGATGGATGATTCAATAGTTACTGATAATCACCTGATAAAGACTTTGTTCCACACATCTTTGTTGAGTTTAACATCTTCCTGCAGCTCGTTAACAAGGCCAGCTAGAGCTTTGATTGTCTCTCCAACATCCTGCAGAAAAAAGACAAAGAGATGGAGAGATGAACAAAGGGAAAGGAATGAGGATCTGGGTGAAGAGAAGGATAGTCACAGACAATGATGCTGGATAGAGGGTTTTGTACCGGATGAAGTAATTCCAAAATTGTGGTTAAAAATCAGCCAAAATTCCTGCCCTCTTCTCTTGTTCTTACCTTCATCATTGGCTGGTGCAAACCCTTCTTGATGGTGAACCATTCCTGAGTACCCACCTACAAATAAGGAATACATGCATTAGCGCCAGTGAGAAAAGATGCTGTCTATCAAGGGGGGTATTAAGAAGTCTGGCACTAATGAGGCCCATTCATTCCTGTTTCATCACCAGTTGGGGACAGAGGACGAGTGTGGGTTAGCTTCTTCTCTCCCATGATGGTATAAAAGCTATAGTTTCAAGGTGGGCTGATTGAAGCTCAGAATTGGAGGAAATCTGGCTTGGCTAATCATCATTTTTTCCCTTAAACATGTACTTTTCCCTAAGAACCTAAAAACACAAATATGGACATTATAAAAATCTAAAGATTACCTGAACAGCTTTTGTCACCTCTTGCTGAAGATCAAAGGTGGATGGGTTAAGTTTCTGAAAGGCCTTGGTTTTGCATATCTGCACCATCACCCTGAAATAGGCAATATAAACTATCAGATGTTACCACATCTGATCTTCATACACCACTACTAATGTATTTGACTCTCCTCACAGCTAAAATCTGTACCAGAATTGATACTGTGCTATGTGTGGTCATGAAAAATGAAGTGGTCCAGATTCTGTGAGTTACAATGTTGGAGGACAGTCCACAATGGGCCAGAGACATGTGGACACCACTTGTCCACATGACCCCCTCTCTCAAAGCCTACCTGAGCAGCGTGTGCAAGCGCTTGGTTGCTGTCGGTAGAAAGACGTCTCGGTATTTGGAGACAAGCGACAGTCCATACTGCAGGAAGTCATGGAGGGAGGCAGCCAGCTCTTGTTTCTATAGGAAACCATTACACACAATCAGATGACTGCTAAAAAGTTTGTAATTATACACATCGCAAAAGTGTGTGAAAGATAAAATCATCTTGTACTGTGCATGTTATGTCATCTACTTGCAAATGAAGAGCCCAGTCCAAACATAATAAAAGTTACAAATGTGAGGAGGCCTTTTGGCTTACTTGGTTGCTTTGTAACTGATTAATCTAAGCATCAGACCCAGACATTTCTTAAAGGATCCCAAGGAACCATGGTCAACATCGTGACTAGGAAGGTTTTTGTACTCAGAAGAACTTTCCAAATTCAGTCCTTCTCTCCTGGTGTCACTGTGGTCATTTCCTGGGTTAATCTTGAAGGTTTTTAATCTCTTGTATCAAGTCCCCATTTTAAGGACTACAGCGACCCAGAGATAAAAATCTCATTTTAAATTCAAATTGCATAGCACAGTAACCTCATTACAGTTAGCTGTGATTTTCTTATGCAATTGTGTGATTGAAAGTAAGTCATCATCAATGTTCCCTCTAATTTCAAATGAACTGTGTGTGCAAAAATATCAAGCTGTGCAATTTTTTTCTCCAGTGACAAAAAGTGTTAACCTGAAATTATTTTATGTTAATATTTCTCGCAACGGAACATATATCAAATGATGACTTTTCGGAGTAGCAGTTGCTACCATTTCGTCAAGCTTTTCCATTTTAAACGAACTTGCAGTTCTTTTGCGCTTAACGCCCTTCACCTCTTTAGACATAATGAACCAATATTTTTATTTTTTTAATAAAATATATTTGAAGTGAGTAGTACAAATTTGAAAACAATTAGTCTACGTTTCGACGATCTCAACGTTCAACGATGCACACTATGCAAACCGGAAAAGGAAAATGCTGTTTATTGTGAAGCAGAAATTCAAAAAACCAGGACAGTGACTCGACGAGCTCAGTCATGGAGACTGAGTGTGGAGTGAGCATGAGCGGTGAGGTACGAGACTACAAGACCTTAGATATCGATGATCAAGTAGCAATAATAATGCACACAGCCAAGTCGCAGCCGGTCTCATGTGGTCAATTTCGCATTTTTCAGTTGATGACCCTGTTTGTTTCATTATTATCATTTTAATTATGTTTTTTGTGCGCAGTTCAATTTCCTGAGTGTGGGCGCACACGTGCACAGCTTAGAGGGAACATCGAATAATTTAGATGACTATAACAGCAGTTAAAGGTTCTCAGTGTTTTTTAGATTTAAGGATTTTGATATTTTATTGTAATGTTTAATAGAAAATTTGGAAAAAGAGCATTTATAGTAAATGTATTAGTCATTCTGGGTAAATTTCACATCCATAAATCAAAATGGTCTAATAATATTCCCCTTTTTAGTACTTTTGAGGTGGAGCTGAAACCCTATTTAAATTCTACGTATGATATATGTAAAAAATACAATTTGATCTCATAATTTACTTCATTACCTCTGGTGGTTAAACGTTTTTTTTCTGTTCGTGTTTTTTTCTCTTGTACCTGTTTTGGATCCTCTGGTTGTAGTTGTATTTGTAAATTATTTATACTTTAATAATTTTTTTTTTAAGTTCTCAGTGGTGCTACCTGTAGAAAGGGAAGCTCCTGCTGCCCCCAGTGGTACTCAATGCTGGTGAGCTGCTGGAACAGCACTGTGGGGTCCAGCTCCAGCTTCTGATTGAGCCTGCTGTACGCCACCCACTTCCTGCAGAGAGAGGTGAGCTGCTGAAAAAGAGGCAGGGGCTGGAGATCGCGGAAATACATTGTGACTAAGTACATAAATAATTAAAAAATGACAACGGAATGGATTCTCCGAATCTGCCCCAAATGGAAGCCTTTCAATGAAAAAATAAACCGAGTAAAAAAAACAAACGGGTATATATCGCATGTGGTCATTAAGCATTAATTTTTAGCATTCCATAAAAAATAACATATTTTATTTTTGGTAGTATTTACGGAGAACTGATGAAGTTTTTTATTTGAAGTACTTCATATACATTTGTGGGTTAAGAATAAATTATTTTGATTTGAAATACATTTCTTTGATGCATTTTATTTGGTCTCTTTTTTTAATTGTCAGATATCTTTGCTTCAATATCATCTTCAGAAGCCAAGTGATGCCTTCCCAATTAAGCCCACTTTTACGTGACTTTAAGTCAGTTACTGAATCTCCATATGCATTAGTATAAAAACTGACACCTTGTTTCAAGTTTTTATGTAGCAACTGACACAATTTAACCTGTTGTTAGTTAAATGTTTATTTCAGATCACTAATGTTGTGTTAACACCTAGGTTATTAACACTACTTCAAAATCCCTGACTCTTGCTACAGTACGACCTCTGCCCAACACAAGATCTGAAGGTTGGTCTTTGCCTGTTTGTGATACTCACGCCAAGTCCTGCAAGAAGGGAGACAGATCGTTTTGAGTGGCATGGAGGTCCAGCAGTGTCTGTGCTGCCTTGCTGAGCTCTCCCTTCCACGTGGCACTGCCATCCTGTGTACCAAGAGACAAGTGAGAATAAGAAAAGACTCCACTTCCAGAATAAACAGCGGGTCCTTCCCGTGGAAGCACTAAATGCTCTGTAGTTTTCTTCTTCAGCATCCCAGAAGACAGCTTGAGAAAAGCAAGGCACATTTGCAATAGGAGTTAATGGGAATGAGACAGCGAGTGTTCAGCTTCCTTCAACCCTACACTTCACTTTCCTCAAGGGCATTTTAAGATGCTCCAGTATAAGCATAAGAAATACAGGTATTCCAGTGGCTATTGAATTTTTGCTTTTGCAGCTTCTTCCAGTCCATATAAACAATTTGCAATATTCTAAATCACTTTAGTATGTGTGTAAGCTCTATTTTTACAAGCTGGGTCCTAATGGGTCCTGAACTTTAAAACAACAATAAGGCATGTGCTGTTATTAAACTAAGAGAACACTGAAGTTGAGGAAGCATTATTTGGTTCAGAAGTTTTCAAACCCCTGCCTGATTAAACTGCTGGGTTTCCTACATTGCAGCTCATCTGTTCCCTTGGTGTTGCAAGGAACAGCCACATCTCAGCTCCACAAGAATAAAAGTCATGACCACAGCTCACTCTGTGATTCTCTTGAGGATGGGTGAGCTCTGTAGACATCACAGTGAGCTTGGTGCCTACCTGTTTCTGGGAGATGTCATACTGGACAAACTGCTGAAGTATCCCACAGTAGTTGACATAGGCACTCCTCCCAGCGCTCAGTGCTCCATCTCTCTGTGAAGAACACAGTTGTTTAAAATGGATTTTAAGATGGACCAACAAGTTCCTTGTGGGAAATTTTTAGAACATCAATTCTTCATGGTTTTGCCAATCTTTGACTAGCTATTGCTTCCTACTCTTTCTATCATACTTTCCCAATCCTCTCTCTACTTTAGTTTGGGTAAATGTGGTTGGTTCACAGTTTTTCTCTATACTTGACTTTGAATTAATCACAGTTGTGGGATTATGCTTGGGCGTGTCCAGTGTGGAGGGGGGGCCCTGGATAAAGGGCGACGCTTCTCCTTTGTAGTCAAAGCTGTTCCGCTTACTGGACGATGAGCCACAGCTGTGAAGATGCTATAATGGCACACTGGACACGCCCCGAAGGGACGAGCAGGGATACCCCTAGAAGGGGAGCATCTTTTTACCAGCAGTCCCGGAGGAGATTGTACTACGCGTAACGCGTCGACATTTTTCTTTTTCTTTCATTTTTCCCTGTCCCGTCACGTATCTTCACCGGGGCAGGCAGACCTTTTTTACACACTTACTTTTTACTCTTATTTTTGGCATTACGCACTCTGTTATTCCAGACTGGACCCCGGTAAAGTCCAGTCTGGTCACCGCTGTGTTAGCGGTTCTCTTTTTTTTCCCAGGCTGGACCCCGTTGAACAGAGTAAGCCCAGCCCGTATATCGAAAGGCACATCTTTCTTTTTGCTTTCAGTTCTATTTTCCACCTTTGTAATGTTATTTTTTTTTATTCCTGCTAATCTCACACCGGCGTTTCCGTCCCTTAGTTAGGGGCGTCGACTTTTATCAGTGTTCTTCGCGGCTCTGCCCACTCCCACCCTGTTACTCAGTATATAAATAAAAACCTTCTGAGGCGTTTAAAATAACATCTAATAATATCCTAACCCGGCCATTGCATCTTTATTAGGAGCAGACATTTGAACTAATATATACTAATAACTATTAATGGCACAAAGTAAATAATGTGGATTTGTTCATTGATGTGCAAAACGTTAATAATCCAAATGTAACTAATCAAAAGTGAAGCAATCCCATTGATCTGCTCATCTTGTGGAAGCAGAAAATGCTTCTTCTAGTATTTCAGGCAGCTATAAATCAGAAGAATCCTGAAAAAATCATTAGAGTGGCTTACTTCTTTGTGAATGAATTTGAGCTGCATATGGCACTTTCCTCTGTCAGGGTAAGTCTCTGTCCTGGGCTCCAGTGTGTACCATTCATCCTCAGTGTAGTGCAGGTTCTGAAGCAAAAGCATGTTATAGCAGTATTCTATATATCCTCTCAGCCATCATTTTGATCATAATAGAGCATAGAAACACTTAAGAAAAAAACTGATGCAATCACTGGACTTTATAAAAGTAATTATTTGTTATTCATGAATGTGTAGATTTCAATATATTCTAGAAATGTTTCAACTTGTTAAAATCGAATTTACTTCTTATATGTTCTCAAGGACAAATAGCTTGAATGCAATCTTTGCTTTAAGATGTTTGGATTAAACACAAATATGCATAATTCTAGCATAAACAGTTTGTGTGTCATTAAAGGATGGCTTCAGCACTTTGAGGTGAATGACACTCATTAGGAGAAATTAAACACTCAATTTTTTATCTCTCACCTGTAGACTGAGTGCTACATTCCCCAGAAAATCATCTTGGCCCTTCTCTTTCTTTACTTCTTTAAGCATTCTGTACAGAGAGCAAGAGATCAGTCAACAACACCAGCTCAGGTATAACTTGTTACTAAGCTTGTTTGATGAGGGTTGGAGAATGTTCCACTGCACCTTTTAAATCCTTGAAAGTTGGTCCTGAACTCTTCCAGTTTCTGCCCCAATGTCACATCTTCATCTTTGTCCCTGTAGAATCAGCACACCTCTATCAAATCCCTACATTTAAATCCATATCCTTTGACTACACACCCCACTGCCCTTTTTCCAAAAACATTCCTCTGGTTTTATCCCATCTGGTCTTTGAAGTCTATTATTCAATATCAGTAGAGGGAAGTAACATGATGTAAATGTTTCACTAATTGTTATTGCTTTGGCAACTCACAAATGCATCAGTCATGACAGTCAAGGTATTTTATTTCAGAAGAGAGGACAGAGAGAATAAAGACAGAGAAAAGGTAGAGATAGCTGAGTGAGGAGACAACTGAGTCAGATAAGAGTTTAGAATGGACTGAGAAACAAAGACAATGGGACCAAATAAACATAAGACAGGTGAAAAAGGACTAGGCTACAGGTTAGAGGGGATGTACAGTATGAAGATAAGGAGCAGAAACAGAGGAGATGACATGAGATGGTTGAAGGGGGAAGAGAGATTGAGAAAGCTTTGAGGCTCACCACATTTCCATGTGAAAGCTGGCCCTAGCAGGATCTGCAACTTCCCTAACAGAGAAAACAGACATTAATGAAAGAGCTAAAAAGTCCTTGTTCCAAAGTGGCTCAACCCTTAAGGCAGTACATCAGGGAGCTCAGCTAGTTGACAAATGATTCCAGTTTTTTTAATGATTAATATCTCTCCCTATTCTTCCAGCCACTCAGTAGGAAAAGGTAAAAATGGCACTGGGTACTCTAAGTCCAATGCGTTCATGGTCATCATTTTGTTAACACTGTGTTCAAGTGCTTGTGCATCTTCCTATGTTTCAAGAGCTCTATTTCCAATCCTCTCTAAATATAGAAATTCACACCTGCATGTGTAAGCAGTGGAACCAATGTCTATCTCAGACATTCAATAAATGTTGTTTTTACAAGTGGACATATTATTCAGATGCACCTTTAAGTTTATTGTAAATTTTGAGAACCTGGATCTTAAATGAGTTAGTTCAAAGCAGAGAAACAGAGCCGTATTGACGATTTACAGTGATCTTCTCCATGCTCAATTGTCACATTTTCACTAAGGAAAGGTAGGCTCTCTATTTGACAAACTGACAAAGACTCCTAAACTAACAATTTAAAAGATTTCCGTGATGCTTTAAAATGTAAGTTTTAAACACTTTTTCCAGTGATGACTGATACTGCATTGCCACCTGCTCCAGGAGTCAATGCCTCTAGTGGATGGGAGTTCCAAAAGTGGAAAAGAGGAAAGAGTCTTGCTGTTTTTTTAGACTTAGCACCTGGAGCTGGTCACAATGTATTATCAGCCACAGTGAGTGGTCTTCTTTAAGGCTAACATGTTCTGTGTTTCTTTTCCAGAGAGAAAGAAGGAGGACTCAAAAGGCATTAATAACTGTATGGGAGGGTTCGTACAGGATGAAGGTCTCGTTCCAGTTGGGATTGAGAGTCTGTTTCTTGACCTCGGTTTGGTAGATCTCCTCATCTGGGATTGCATTTTTCACCACAGCTTTCTTGGGCTTGTGTAGGGTGGTTGTGTCCCCTTTTTTCTTGTTGTCAGATGCAACATCCTCAGTGTACATGATAGCCAGCATGCAATATGGGTCACTGAAGCCTGTAGAGAAAAGAAGAGTTTGGCTGACTTCTTGGCTAGAAACTCTTTCATTAAAGATTTGAGATTGAAAGGAGGAAGAATGGATAAATGGAGCATCAATATACAGTAACAGTACTGTTGTAAGAAATTTTATAAGATATTATCTTATAAAATTCACTGTTTTCATAGACATACACTGCCTTATCAAGATATTAGTAGTCCCAATCTTTGACCTGGAAACTCACACTCCTGCTGGTTTTCATTTCATCCAATCGTAATGAGATAAATGAAGATGTATTTGATCTAAGAAGTTGCTTCAATTGAATATTTTCATTTTGTTTCTAGTCACAAATTTGGGTTTTTATTTCACTTACAAAATGTAAGTTAAAGCTACCAACATGTTTAAGAGGTAGAAAAAAACAGTTAATGTTAATCTTATTGCTATTAAGTCAATGAAGGATTTGATCATGTACTTGAAGGCTCGGCTGGAACAAAAATCAAAAGGTGTGTGAGTCATTAGTTCACAGAAATGAACACCTTTCTTTTCTGGCATAATTTAAAATGGCTGATTTGCTGATTTACGAATTGCTTACCACTGACATCTTTTCCCAGAATGCCTTTAGCTTCCTTCACTGTGACCATAAGGCAGTTTACTGGAGGCTGTAGAAGGCATAGAAGGAATGATTGATACCTTGGAATAGATAATAAATTCCATACAAACAAATCATGCTTTTCAGTTTGGATTACAGGAGAGACAAAAACAAGACTCACTGCAAAAGTGCTTTGTCACTTTCTGCTTCTTCTTCATTCTTCAAAGAAAAGTGCACTTACATGAGGCAGCTACCATAATGCCAAAGGCAATCAGAAAGTTCAGAACTGCCATTGGAGAAATCCTATGCATAGTCAGATAATGACGGAAACCAGCAATTTCTGTAAGTCCCAGCTTAAATTTACTTTGGAGATTGTAAAACTGTTAAAACCCCCTGGTGACATGTTCTAGTTTCCGAGGTGGCTCCTATCGAATTTTATCATGCTATTACATTACATGTTATGAGCAAAAAGCAACACGTTTTGAGAACATGTGAACAAAAACAAAATTCAGCACTGTTAGATTGCCACCAAAGTTTTTTGACACTTCTGGCAAGATGTTAAAACTCCACATTTAGCACACATTTTCTAAGTTCTGTTTTTTAATAATTCTTTACCTCTAGGCTCTGTACTTTTTGGAGCAGATGATTATGTTCATGCTGTGTCATAGAAAATGCCTAGATGGGAAGAAAACATTTTTCCAGTCAGTCTCACAGAGATTTCTCACTGAATACTATGTCCAACATCAGATCCAAACATCCCCATTTTTGGAATTCAGGTAATGTTTGACAGACTTTTTAAATGTAGTACCACAACTTCTCTCACTTTTGATCAAAGCAATTATTTTTTAATCCAGCATAATGTTAGAACTCTCATTCTACAATTTGAAGATGAGGACAGCAGACACTCTCCTTATAACTATAATCTTTCTCTTGTCCTTAGAACGTGTAACTGAAATGTGATTGTGATAAGCTGGATGTGATGGCTCTCTAACACAACCCAAGACATCATAAATCAGTTTGATCTTGACAGTTCCATGATGAAGTTCCGACAATGACGCTCCATAGTCCACCACTACAAGAGAAAGACACATCTGGATTTGAACACCAGATGGAGGTCACATGTCACAAATCCACTGACAGGACCAGAATGATCCACCAATGAGGAGTATGCCATATGGGAATAGTAACTTCACTTGGTGATGTGACAACCAAGGACTACCCCTGATAGCTTTAAACATATTTATACTTAAAAAGCATCTGCACAGCAGTCTGCAAGCTGTCTGAAATCCTGGCAAATTGACCACAAAAAAATAATTTTACTGCAACCATTGCTGTCTGACCTCCAACTGAAACAAACTTAACTGAAAGGAACTGCTGGGTTGACAAACTGTTTATAAACCACAGCTCTGCCCAAGACTTCCTGTGCAACAAGAGAAGTTTTGTGACAAGTTCCAAATAGTAATTTTTCCCAATTAACAAAATAATATAGTGGGACATTTGTTGACACCACTGAATATCAATTACTTTTCAGTGCAGAAGCTACAAATATGGGAAACCAGACTAAATTTCTAGTTTTTTTCACATTTACGTTTCGATCTGTGGCTGTGTTCTGAAATCATGAAGCGAAGTGTATATTCCATTTAAGAAGCTGTCTTTAGCATGGGGCTAAGTGGAACTCTTCTCTCTTCTTCTCCTGTGCCACCCAGACACCCTTTAGCACAGGCCCAGAGGACATGAAACCATGTATTAGTACTATCCATCCATCCCTTTTCTAACTTCTTCTTCCAACTCAGAGTCATAGGCGAGCCAGAGCTTATCTCTTAAAACAACGGGAGCAAGGCAGGGTACACTCTAGATGGGACACCAGTCCAACGCAGGGCAGACATACTGTACAGGCACGTACAGACTCAAGCTCAAGGGCCAGTTTTTTCCAGAAGCCAATTAATCTACCACTGTGCTTTTGGACTGTGGGGAGAACATATGAACTCTTCTCAGGTAACACCCCAGGTCAGGAATTGAACCCCAGTGCAACGACTGCTGAGTTATTGATAAGGCATTTGTATATCAGCAGAGTGATATACTGTATATTATATAATGTATATTCACTCTTGTATTGGTTTATTTGGCATGATTTACTATTGCATTCATTAAAGCATATATTGTTTTTTTGTTCTGATTGATTGCAAGCCCAACAGTTTTCCACTGTTAAACTGAACAACCAAGCTCCCTGCAATCAACCAAGACAACAACTTGGCCTCTGCTCAACAAATTGCCTCTGAAACACATTTCTAGAATGGAGTGAACTCATTATTTCTTACAGTGATCAAAACTCAGGACCTGCCACTACACAGAGGTATCTGAACAGTGATGGTTCCTGAAGTGAGGAGAAGCAAGCTGTGCTTTAGTACTTGGATTTAAATGGGGGATTTGGCTACAATTACAATTAGGCATGTGCTTAAAGACAGGATCAAGTGAGGATAAAGAAGTAATGTGGATTGTTCAGGAAACAAATATTCCTGTCTGACGCCAGGAATCTCATTTCACCTGACTTGAAGCTCACATCACTGTGGTTTTTGCAGTGTAGAATTGAAACTCCTACTGGAAGGCCCTTGTGTCTGCTCACCTGCTTGATGTACTGGACGAGGTCAGCTTCGTCCGAGACATGATGAGGCCTGGGTTTGCCCACTCTGTAGAGGATGGTGTACAGCAGTTCTCTGTATAGGGGCTTCAGCTATGAAAAAGAGAGCACAGAGGAATAACAGATATAACTGAAAAGATACTGTATAATTGTCTTTGTTATGAGCACAAATACTTGCAATCTGGTTTGCAGATTTTTAGAAACCTTGTATTAGAAATACTCTAAACCTACAGTATGTCCTGGTTGCAGTATTTTGCAAAGTCACCATGGGTTACAGAAACAGAATAGGAAACTGACAAGTAATTAATATGTTAATATGTTGCATATGGTAATCAATGATTTAAGGATTATCTGCAGTGCCACCAGACTGCAAAAATGCCAGTTAGGACCCAGTTCTACAACCCTTGTGTGTGTGAGCCTTTACCTCCTGCTCCCTGTGTCTGCGTTCTGTCTCCTCAGGGTTCTCATCCTCCTTGTAGGCCTGAAGTGAACAGACAGAGTGATCATTTCAAAAAGGTATTGATATTAGGTCAGATTATAGTTTACTAACAATTTTCAGGGTGGTGTGGGGATCATCTGGACCTGGAGTGTTATCTGCATGAAGTTCAACCCGGTATTCACAAGCGTTTCCTCTAGTTACTCCAAGATTCCTCCCAGACTCCAAAGACATGCTGGCAGGTTAATTGGCTTCTGTGAAAACTGGCCCTGGTGTGAGTGTGTGTGTCTGAGTCTGTGTGTGCCCTGTGATGGACTGGCGTTCCATCCAGGGTGTATCCTGCCTAGTCTCCGTTGCTTGCTGGGATAGGCTCCGGTCCCCCTTCAACCCTGTATTGGATAAACCGGTTAAAAATAAATAGATTGAAGTACCCCGGTATAAAGACCACTCCTTACAATGTGGTTTGAGTCTTGGATGTGTCACTAGCCCTTTAGGGAAGGCATACCATTGACATAGCACCTCCAAACCTGCGATTGGAGGTTTCTGTATCAATATGCTTTATTTAACATTGTAGTGTGTTCCACAGCATACTCCAAAATAAATGGAAATACTGCAGATTGTAAAATGTATCTTGATCAATATCTACAAATGTCTTAGACATTTCAAAATGTATGATAACATTCACGGTTATTTTTTAATATAATATATGTGACAGCAAATGCTAATATGTTTTGAAGAAACCAAAATGCTTCCTTAGTCTCCTGTTATTAGCTGTTTACAGAAAAAAATATTTGCCAGAGGCATCAGTCTTGAGTTCATTTAAGCAGAGGATCTTCTCCTGATCCTGATCCTGAAGGAATATGGACTCTGAACACTAAAATCTACTTCTGATCTGTCATCCTTAATGTGCTGGAGAAGACTTTGAGGTAGTCCAAAATCAGACTGTGTTCAGATGTGCACAAAAATGAATTACTTAACTCACAGCCCCATGTAAGGCATGTGTTATACAGTCAGTATGATTTAAAATGGACATAAATCCCCTAGATTGGTTGTTCTGCCATTGATGAAGTAACTGTGGTATATATAATATACCACAATATAGTCACATTGGGATGGGTAAGAAGGTCTGGTTTTGAAAAGCCCTGTTTTAAAGTGTTGTTATTGGGTGACGTTTTCAACTTCCTGCTCAGATGCTTCTAGACTTCCGCCTGCTGTGAATATGTACCAGGGCTGCATTGCCTTACAGGATTGACATCATCTGTTTTGAGTTTTTATGCTTACTTTCAGCTTCCTGGTCCTCCCCAATTTGCGGACATGGACTGGTGATCCTTGCTGGGGAGAGAGCAGATTGCAACTGGTCAATGGTTCAGATCTGACATCTTCTTTACTTCATATCTTTAAAGCAGGGCTCCTGCTTAAGGGCAATGTCCAGCAGCTACCACATGTCTCCTTAAATCATAAATCTCACAAATCCTCAAGGAGGGGGTTAATTGCACTAATTTCAGGATAATTTGACCTATGTGACTGAAAACTAATTAAAACTATGTAGAAGCTGGACATTTACAATAGACACATTGCTTCAGTGACTAGCTGGCTTAATTGTAAGCAGCTTCACCCATGAAGAGATGGAAAGACTTGTAACTTGGAGTGTTTGGGACACTCTGATTCCTGGCATCTCCCCACCACACTGAAAGATCAAGCTCACCTCTTGCTTGCTGAGCCTGACAGCTGCTCCGTCCCTTTGTGGGGCCTGAAAAACAACACAAAAAATATTTAAATTGGGCTGTGTCCCACTATGAGAAGCAGTTGGCTTCTAATCTATGGTGGTGCCTTATATCAAGTAACTCAGAGAGAATATTTTAACATCAATATCCATTAATGTGGATACAACCAGTTTTTCCGGTTGTATTCCGAGACGTGTAAACTTTTTCACATCATCTGAAGTACAAGAAGAACATAAAGATTGCAGGAGTGTTCAGGATTCAGAGAAAGTTTTATGAGATATTCAGGCGATATTTCAGTCAAAATCTACATAACTGTAATGATGTAGCTTTCATGATGTAGCTTAGTATGTTTATCGATGTTTTCACTTTCATGTACCTGTCGATTTCTCGGTTCCATTTGCTATTATGTCCTATTTATTATAAGGCCTGTTGCCGTCTATAACGACAAACGCCAATCCATCAATTTAGAATGATTTTAACACAGATCATAACAAATTAATTCAGTCATCTGACTGTCATTGGGTACCCCATGTATCCACTTGTGGTTTGCTTCTGTGCAGGATTCAATCCTCTGTATTTTGATATCTCCCAACAATCCCAGAAAACAGCTGGGTAACAGTTGCCACACAAGCAAGAGGAAATATTTACTAAATTAGATGAACAATCAGGAGCTGAAAATCACTTTGGCACCACTGTACTGGAAATTCACAGACTAAGTATTGGAAATAATGTGATTTCAGTAACTTTTTAAAAATGTTATGAAATTGTGTTTATACTTCTTTCCTTTGTACCTTTACCCTTCCTTAAATGTAGTTTACAGAGTAACACCTATAGTTTGTGGCACTATGGTGGCCCATTTAAAGGCACATAAGCACTTAGGAATTTTGCAGTTCATGGCATTTTCAACTGCACCTCAACCAAACACTTCAGAAATATCGTAAAAACGTAACACACCACAGAATCTGTGCCTAGATTTTGAATATGAATCACCAACACACTGGTTTTACTAAATATTTCTTTCCATGATTTTCAACACAACCACAAGTGCAAAAACAAAATAAAAAACACGAAGCCAGGCAGCGTTCCACCACAACAGCTAAAATGACAAATGAATAATGTTTTTTTCAGGTTCTCAAGGAAATTGATAATGTAAACACAAAAGCCACACTGTAATTCTGGGCTGTTGGAAGGCCAAGGTCTGTGACCTTAAGACTCCTACTCTAATGTTTGTAAAACCACCACTATATCATTTTAATGTCAGGTCATGTCATACATAACAGCATCACAATGTTTCTTGCCATTCATTACACAACATCCTTTTGATTATTTTTTACCTGCATAATTTGTATTGAAATCTATGAATTACATCTTCTGACATGTACTATAGAGAGGACAGTGTACAAAACAGGAATTACAACTACAGCGTTCTTTTTTCAGGAGGTTACCTTGGCAACAGCACAGTTCAGGACTGGAGCACTGTGGAGCACTTTTATAGGTCAGGGAAATAAAATAGCCTGTTGAGCAGCAATATCTTTTCCTTTAAGGTTTTCAATTGCTTTTGTGTGTCAATAAAGAAAATGAAAAAAGGCTGATGATGGCAGTGGCAAGCAGCTCCACTAGAATGAGACACACGCCAAGTCTCCTGTCAAAGTGCACTTTAGGTATACATGTCACAGGATTCTGATATTGTCACCTTGGATTGACACACAGTAATTGTCTAGTGGTTACCTATGATTTGAATACACCTTCACTGTATTCTACTACACTACTGAAGTGTAATTTGGTACGTTTGCCAGGGTGAGTGTAGATGTGGCAGGAAATATAACTTCCTATTCTCCTTGGTCTTTGTATAGGGTTTTTATTTTTTACTATACTTGTTGTAATTTTCATATGAAATTGCCCCTGTTCCCATTTCCCTAAAACAGCCTCCCCCCTGCAGTGATACTTAGCAAAAGCCCCATGCTGTGGTGTGTCAAAAGCACAGGGTCAAGTCAAACCTTCACAAAACGTCTGTGGGAACAATTCAGAAATGATCATCAGTGAGAATGTGGTGAGGGGCAACCAGCTCTGCTATTGATTCGGAAATGGGTTCCTGAAAAGTCCCTGTTTTTTGAAGGTTTTGTCTGCCCATTATGACAAAATACAAAATTTACTTTCATTCCTTTTTTAATTGTTGAATTACAAATTAGTATTTCATTCATTCATTCACCCTGCCATTTATTAACAGCTAAATGATCGTTCTGTTTTAAGAACTGTTGTCTGGCAATGGGATAACTGGTTTGTATAAGCTTGTGTATGTAGATTTAATGCGCCCTTGGGGAGAGATTTCTTGTCAAGCAAAGGGGAGAACTGAGGACAGAGTTAGAACGCTGTACCACAGGATTTGCTATTGCATTATGTTTAATTTAGAAAGATCCAGCCATTTTTCATATTTCTTAACCAATTCAGGATCACAGGGGAGCCAGAGTCTATCCTGGCAAGCAACAGGTGAAAGGCAGGATATACCCTGGACAGGATGCTGGCCCATTGCAGGGCATGCACAGACACATGCACACTCACACCAGGGCAAATTTTCCCAGAAGCTAATTAACCTGCCACTATGGTTTGGGACTCTGAAAGGAAATCAGAGCACCTGAAGGAAACCCATATGAACATGAGAAGAACATCCAGTGGCCCCAGTGCTGTGAGGAAGCAATGCAAATACTGTGTTGCCATGCCACCCTAATTCAGGAACAAATGATATGTGTGAAAGTTTATGTGTGTTTTTGCTTTAGGTCAAGTGACAGTTACAATTGCAGACTCAGTGAAGAAAGCCCTAACGTCTTCTGCACCAGGATTGTAAAGCACCTGTGATTGTGTCCAAAAGAGCAATGCCAGTCTATTGGGGTCCTCTGTGTGGTGTCTGCTTCAGCAAATCTGCGGGTTTGTTTGCTGTGTGGATTTGTATTGGAAATATGAGGTTGCCTGCAATATTGCTATGCATATGTACTGTAGTATTATATTATTCATAAAACATAGACAATGCATAAATTATATGAATAACATACCAAACTGGACTTAAGACTTTTCAGTTCCAGTTTAAAAGCAGAATAGCTGTGAATGTTATCTTCACCAAAAAAGCTGTAAATATGAATTTCTCTTATTTACATTGATCTCTCAATCTCTTTTTCTCAGAAACATTTTTCTTGAAGTTATTCTTGCCTACAGTAAAGTGGCAATTACTCCATCTGGAATATTTGAAATAAGGATGGCTAACTAAACAACCCCAAAAAGTGCAATGGGTTTTAACAAATCAATTTTCATTCTCTGACACAGACCTATCAAAGAAGCCATTACTGCTTTGCCAGAGCTCAGACTCGAGGACCTCATAGGAATATAAGTGCTTTTCAGAGTCAAAGCAGATAGAAATGTCAGCAGCTCGTGTTTAGGCAGCTGAGAAGGGGAGATTCGGGGATGAATAGGAATTTTAATCCACCATCCAGATTTTTCATGCAAACCTGTGAATTGTGTTTCAGGAGGCATATATTGTAGGAAAGTCAACCTCTACAGAAAGCATCCTCCACTGGCCTTTGACTGGCTATGAATTAATCAAGATGTCCCTTATATTATTTGAATCTGCGAGTCTAGCAAAGCCATTTTCAGAGTCTACACTGAAACCATCAAGAGTTTTTGTCCAGACTCAGTTGAAAAATATTGTGTAATCAGGGTTATTTTTCATACAGGGGTATGAGAAAGATTACAGACAAAGGGCAGCCATTCGGCTCATCTCACACATTTGTTTTTTGGTAGCTAAATGATTCAAGGGATCTAATTGAGCTTCAACAGCATAGCAGAGCAGCCTGTTCCATCACACCTCATGTTTACCACCAAGAACACGATACAACATTGGCACAGACTTGATTGAAATGATGACCAAAGTAAAGCAAAATGCAAAACAAAGCTTAAGATGCCTTTGACCCTGGCAGGCTTTGAGTTCAAATGCTGTTTACATGCAAATTTTCCATGATTCACAAGGGAACACTTTCCTCTGCTGTATGATTCTCTGATATCTGGTAATTTACCCACAAAAAAGTTGCTTTCAGAGGGATTACCACATGAGGAGACCATGTGATTCAAGAGCTCACAGCCTGACACACTCACCACATCCAGGCATTGGCTCTGTATCATGAAAGTAGTTAAAGATCCCCACAGAAACAGGCCCAGTTTCCACTGATAACACAGCAGGGCAGGAGTGAATGAATGGATATAAGGAAAGGAACAATGTCAGCAATAAAATATAATTCTGGAAAAACTCAAAACTTGGATGGCAATGGGGCCTCTGTCTTATTCCAGACAGGTGTTTCTTTAATTGGTTTAGTGACTTAGATAACTGGAGAAATATAAAACTTCTATTTGGACATACAATTTTTGTACCTTAAATCAATATGTTTTTTCTTGGATCATTATAAGAGTTATTTGTCCTAAGTGAGACAATATTTGCTTAATTTAAGGTGTGATCTTTTGTTGTAATAGATAAACAGAAAACTTGAGATGACAAAATATCTGCATGACTATCATATAAACTCATCGAGTTCCATTTTCTTAAATGGGCTTTCAAAGGCAAGAATAAATATCTCTTGCTAGAGCACATTTGTTAAATTAACAGAAGGTATGGTGAGCTATACATGAGAATGGATTTGTTAAAAAGTACAACGTCATTACCAAAAATGCCGAAACTGTATATATGCATTGTAGTAACGTATTGGGGCTTCAAAAGCTAAAATTTCTCAGCTGCCATTGCGTCTTCCTTTAAAAACCACAACATCAGGGCAGCGCCAGAAGAAAAAGAACACAAGCTTAAACAAATACAGTATAACACCATACAACAAACATACATACCTCAGTGTGAGACTGGATGTCGTGTGGCTGCTCCACTGCATCTTCAGACGGTTCCATCATTTTAATGATGGCCAGACCGCCGGTACAGGCACTTAGTTCTTGCGTCTCTTCAGAAAGTTCTGTAGTTACACAGCCTGTCAGGAAACGGAAGTCACTACTTCCTGTGCAACAAGTAGTGAAAATTAAACAGCGTAGCTTCTTTATTTGACTGTAAAGCAACCGCGTCTCCAACAGGGTTGGCAAATGATGGGTCTTCAGTCACCTACTGCTCTCAGGGCTGCAAGATGGCTCTCTAGAACTGTGATGAGAGGTGAAACTCATGCTTGATAACAGTGCTTTTTATCTATATTTCACTACAGAGAAATTTGTATGAATCTTGTTTTTCTAAAACAATGGCATATATCTATAGGTGCAAGACAATATGCTAGCAGGAATTCCTTTTCACTGCAATTTGGGGTGTCATTGGTTTATATCTGCCGATGAAGCAAATGAGATCTAAATGTGTGCTGGGAAAAAAGATTTAAAAGTTACCCTATTGGTCATAGGAAAGATGTCTGCATGCCTTAGACACCTTTGTGGAAAAGTGATGGAACATATTGTGATAATACACAATGCACTACAACAAACACAAAAAAGGCAACCATTCATAGTGCTGGTTAGGTCCAGTGGGCATTGTAGGTTCAAATCTGGGCTGCTGTTGATTTGAATCAGTCAGCTGTAACAGGGACATTTGGAATAGTGCCAATATCTTAACTAGACAGGCCAGGTGTCACTGTTGCTGGCTAGGCTTGGAGTTGGCTGGCATATCACCTTGATGGTCACCATGGTGACTTGGAAAATGTGCTATTCATCTGTGTGTGCTATTCATTACATCATTATGTCTGCCTTCCACATGTCAGGTTTGTTCAAGGACAAAGCAGAATCTTTTTGACAGATTGCACCCTGCACTTTCAAACTGGGTATAACACTTAACACACACAGCTTATGTTTCTCATTTTTTTATTAGCTGGCACCTTTATCTATGGTCTATATAGTCCATCCAACCATTCATTTTCTAACCAGGTGGATGCTGCACATTGGTGGTGGTGGAGGGGAGTCCCCATTACCTGTAAAGCGCTTTGAGTGGAGTGTCCAGAAAAGCGCTATATAAGTGTAAGCAATTATTATTATTATTATTATTATAACCACTTTATAGGTTGCTGGGGAGCCAGCGCCTATCCCAGAAATAATGGGTTCAAGGCAGGATATAACCTGAATAGGATGCCAATCCATCGCAGGGCACACACGGACAGAGGCACGAACACAGTCATAATTGGCCAACACCAGGGCCAATTTTCCCAGAAGCCAAATATCCTACCAATTTACTGCCAATTAACTACCAAAAAACCCATGCAAACACAAGGAGAAAATTCAAACTCCATGCAGATAGCACTGTTGGTGCAGAATTGAACCCCGGGCCCTAGCTCTGCATAGCAGCAATACTAACCACTGCTATTATCCCTGACAATCCCTGCCCATTACACACCATTGCTTGGGTAACCCTGATCTGCAATCTCTGGACCACTTGGGATCAACCTATGCTTGAGATTTTGATACTCTCAATATATACATATTCACTTTGGTTCCCTCTTGTATAATGTTTTTTGCAACACCACATTTTAGTCTATCTGCAAAACACAAAGCACAAGAAGGAAGAGAGTGTGCTGTGATATAATCAGGACTTTTGAAACATCATTTATATATTTCTGTGGGATGCATTTATCTTACATCTGCCCATTTGTGTTGCTCATGAGTAATTCTGGGAACTCCGAAACTCTTGTGTGAGGCTCATATAGCAGTGGAAAAAGTGAGTGCAAAAAAACTGTTCTTCTGTGGTATAAGAGAGGCAAACAACAAAGACCGTTCCTAGTACACACTATTGCATGATCCACTTTATGTGTATCACATCTTATTTGACTCAAAAAATAAAGATTAATCCAAGAATCAATACAAGTTCATGACAGAGCTACCGACGCTGAAGCACAGTCTAAGATCTCTGGCAAGATGTCTCTTTAATATTAAAAGGAATGGTCACAAAAAGCAAAATCCACTTGAGCAGTGTGTTTTTATAGAACATTGCTTGAATCTGATCAAGCTACTTTCCACTTATCCATCAGTTATTGTTCTCTGCCTTCCAAGGTTTCATGAGATCAGCTCAAATAAATGCAGGGGAAGGCGGACCTGTACACAGTCTCCTTCAGAAACAGGTCAGAGGCAACCACCATATTTTACAGTATGAGCGGCACCACACCTGCAGTGAAGGTAGGGTTAAGTAGAAGAGTTTTTTTTGTTGTTTTCCTGAAAGCGTCAAAGGGCACAACAACAAATGATCTTCCAGGTACAACAAAAAAGGAAAGAGACACACTTCAACTGATGTCCTGAAAGGATTCTGGGTTTTAATTACACAAGGAAAACAAACAGGCATGCTAAATCTGTCTGTGTGGCACATGTGACATACCCTGCTATTTGTCCTATGCAGGACCAACACCTGTAACACAAAAGTTTTGCCATCTAAAGATTATTTCTGCCAAATAAGATAGCCCTTTATCATAAGAAATTTAGACGACGTACGCACTTTTAAAGTCTGAAAACAGGAAACCAGTAAAGCCCTTCCAACACCCAAGTGATGTGAATTAATGATATAGTGCGGGGTAATACTAACTGTAGTACTGACTGAAGAAATTTAGGTAGCTCACTGAATTGAGACAGTATGAGCAAGATAAAGCTTGGACATGACCCTCACTAGAACAAACAGATTGAAAGTGGATAGAAAAAAGTATACACTAAAATTTCGGCTAAAGTCAGATTATCTCTGTTCATCTGGTTAATGCTTTATCTATGAAAATTTACAGTTAAGATGCGATTGATTTATATCAGTATCTGAAACAATACACAGTCACACAGTAAAATACATAGCAGAATGACCACACTCGGGATACAAAATCAACCAAATGCAATTTACACACTAATTTATACTACATTGTCAAATCGGTGCAGGCACAGAAACAGAATGTGAAGATTGCAGTGCTACTGTACATGCCAGAGAAGTTCAATAAAGAATGCATGTGATGTGATCTTCAGTTTGTTTAAAATACAGCTGCTAGAATTTTAATCAGTGCTTGTACTACAAGCACACCACTCTGTTTTGGCCTCCCTGCACTTACTGTAAAGTGTAAGATTGATTTTTAAATTATTTTTTTTTCACATCCTGTACAAAGTCCTAAACAATATGACATACACTGTCTCAGTCTTGAGTTATTCAACTCTATGCAAACAGCGTCACTCATTGAAATCTACTTTACTGTGGGTCCCCATACACTGGGTGAGAAGACTTTTGCATTTACACAGCTAAACTGCAGAATGCTGTACTATGGCTGCACAAAACTCTCAGTCTCTTGTCCTTTTTGAAAAGCTTTTTAAAACCATATCTTCTGAGTAGCTGCCCTTACCAGGGCAAAGTACAATATATGCAAACTTTACATTATGTGCAAGTACATAGGAAAACAAACATGCAAACACAATAAAATAAAATGATGATAAAGCTACTGTAGCTTACAGCTGGAGGGCAATGCAGATGTTGTCCAAAACAAAATGTATTCATATTAACCAGATATAGAGAGATCATACATGGTGCAGAAAATACGGTATATATAAAGTGATTAAGCGCAATTAGCAAATAACACTTAGTAGGTATAATAGATATGCTTTTATGAAGATATCTGAGTAGGAAGCTGTATCAGTGTCCAGGCAGCAAAATAGCAGGAAAAAGGGATTAATTCCACATTCAAAAACGGGAAGACAAATGCTGTTGAACCTTCGTCAGGTGTCAGCCATTGTGTTTTATCTTCCATCCTACTCCTCACTATGGAATTAACCACTCGTGGTTACTCACAGAATTATCACTGAAATGACCAAATCTGTTTGTAGCGGGCACACTAACATTTCTTACACAGGCTACTTCATGATATGGATGACTATTTGCCATCTACAGAGTTGATGAACAGGGAATCTGCTGTGAACGTTACAGGCTAGGAGTGTGTGTGGCCACCGTGGGAAGCAATATTAGGGATGTATCTTTAACACCAGGTTGCACTTGAGTGTATCAGTCATGAATGATCAATGAATCAATATGATGGCAAAAATAATTAAATCAATATCCAAAATTCATATACTCTATTGATCTGAAACCATTCATGCATAAATAGAATTATGTTTCTTTTGATTCTCAGCACAGTATGTCTGATTTTCATGAGAAAGTGGGATCATAAGGGAAGTGGTATTTCCCAAAATAGCATTCTTTCTCAGACACAACAGTTCAGTGCTCAATTGTGTGTGATCTGCTACCAACCTCCTCGGACGAGTGGGTCTTCTCTGTCCTGGTGCTTAAGAGCTGTCTGTCTGCTGGATTCAGTTCCAACTGGGCTTTTAATTACCGAGGCTTGTTGAATTGCTCACTGAACTACTTTCCTAACTGCTGACTTGTTTACATTATAATGGCCTAAAAAAAAACTTTTAATTAACAAATCAACCTTCGCATTACCTGCACTGTACTAAGTTGGTATATATCTCACCTGAGGACGGTCCTACCAAGTGTTATGGAAAGTTATAGTTTCTGCATCATAGAGCTTGCCAAGAGATCCCATAGGACTCTGTGCTGGGCCCACTCCTCTCCTCTCTGGATACCTGCTCATTTTGCATCATCATACCCTCACATAGCTTCTCATATCTTTGCTCAGTTATTTCTGTACCAAACTTGATCAGTCTTTCCCACCCTCTGGCACACAGGTCTTCTCCTAGATCACAGTACATCTAGTAGACAATTCTTCCTGGATGACTAGTTAAATCTCTCCAAGACTGATGTAATTCAAATTTAAGTTATGCCTTCACTTAATTGTGAGCTGTCTATAATATATCCTAAGCACAGCTCACCTGAATTCAAGACTGCTAAGAAACCTGGTGCTGATGTAGTTCACACACTACATCTCATTCGTGATTCAGTCCTGCAGATTCCTCCTGTACAACATCCGGATGATCAGTGCATAGCTAATTACTTACTCAACGCATCTCGTCCAGGTATGTTTCATACC